GCACGGCTCTGCGCATGTCTGCCAAGCTCTCAAACACACACACACACACACTCGCCCCAGCCACAGGTATGTCCCGGGCCCGGTGGGTAACCTCTGCCTGGCCAAGGAGCTGTCAGAAACCCTCTCCTCTCCCATCAGCCTAACTGGAGTGGAAAAGGCCTGAGCAGCCGGCGAGGAGTTGGGGGTTGCTCACCGATGCACTTTCAGACGTATGGGTTTCCCTCTGTACTTGAGGCTTCAGGCGTTCTTTATTAGCCAATTACGGATATTCCACTGCAGTGGAAACAACGACTTTATCCTGATGAGGGAAAATTGGTGCGAGCGTGCATCATCCGTATGGGTATTATATTCGTTGGAATACTCTGTGGTGGGCTTTCCCGTTTTGGTGATACTAAACAATCTGGAAAATTTCAACGACTGGACTACGTTACCCACAATGCACCACCGAGCAGATGGTAAAGTGATGCATTGAAAGCATGCAATCTAATTCAGATGATGGACATTTTGACTTAGATAATGTGAATTTGTCACTAGTTGTATTTCCTAACTTTGCAGAAGTGAGTTTTCAGGGTAACTCAGGAGACTCAGGAGAAGAAAAACGAGTGATGATCAACGCGTTTTAGTTATAGGCCTATACAGTCTTCCCCGTCTTGAAAACTTGGAAAAATGTGTGACATTGTCTTTGTGATTGCATATATCGTTATCGTTCTTGTTATGATTTTCAAGACACTACAGGCAAAATCATTGTTTTTTCATGTACTGGTCAATTTTGAGATTTTGGGATGTTTTGCTTCCATATAACTTGACATATATAACATATGTATAATTCAGACTAGTGGAAAGAAAACATCCCAAGTACAAATTTAAGTATTTATTTGATCTATTAGATATCTCTCTATAAAAACCTTTAAATCTAATATGTCAACAAAATGAAACAATCCAATGTTCATATTTCTGTTCTGGAATATGCAAGTGTGTGGCTCATTTGCATATTTGAACATAGCATTTCAGAATACTCGTAATACAAAACAATTGTCTTAATGTAATTAATCAACTAGGGAAGTATATCTATTAGTTCAAATACTTCCCCTATTCACCTGTATTGTCTTGCTTTAATGCTGTGTGGGATTTATGTGCACTTATGTGTGTTATTAAAAGAATGAATGATATGCAGTCCGATTATTGAAAAACTCACCAGCACAATACTGACATCTGTTAAGGTTGCTATATGTGGTTACAAGATGTTACAATATGATAAATAGTTACAGCGGTATTCAGACCAACACAAACTGATAACATAAACATTGAGTGCATTGCAAACTGCTGTGAGTAAAGTGTCAAATAAATGAATATAAGACAGTCTTTTGCTCTGATTGGTTGCTTACTGGCCAAAGCGAATAGTCTTTGTGAACTTCAAGCTAGTATTTATTGTAAGTCTGCAGGGGGTTTTGTCCATTTTAAAGTCATAAACATTAGCGAGAACTACTAATAATTATTATAAATGATTCAAGTCTGTATTGGCCCTGTACTAATGACCTCTTTCTGGAGCAAATTATAATGACTGTTATTTAATGACCTCCTTAAAAATCCACAAATATTTGACAAATTGGCTCTATACGTCCTTCATCCAGGTGCATTCAGAGGAAATAAGGCGCAGAAAGCCTCTCATTTTCAAAGTGTCTGCCGTGAAATGCACATGGCCCTCGATATTTTGATGAACTACTTCTTGAAACCTAATCAAGATACGCTTCCCCCTCCCTGAACGCAATATGAGGCTTATTATTTTAACCCCGAACGCGCTGCATGATGTCTATACAGTTTCTGCCGGCCAAGATTTCTTCGGTATGCTACGCTTCCTGCTTAAGCATGAAAAAAAAAAAAAAAAAAAAAATCAACATTCCTCTGGGTTTCACAATTTGGCCTGCTTGAAGCAGCAGAAGACTGGTCGAGCTGGGATGGGACATGGCCAGTCCAAACACTGGGATGCCTGGCCAATTAGACATGCTAAATGCATTTGATTCAGTGCCCTGTGAACCCTGATGTGTTCAATTAAACACGCATCATCTCCACGCGCCCGTTCAACCCGATTACACCTCAACGTCTCAATCGCTCCAAGACTCTCTTGAAAGACATTTTACTTGATGTGGTTTCACATGAGGGTTTGATGTAGTCACAGCATTTTAAAATAAATATAAAACACAGTTCTGATCTCTTTTACTTCCATAATTTGACATATTTCTTAAACAGTGAGACAGTAAGTAGCTTGAATTTGATTTGATCTAGTTCACTTTTTTAGCACCTGCTGGTAAATTACCATTGTGCACAAAGAGCTTATTTCTCTAATGACAAGCATTTAAAAGTCGCCCTGTATTTAAATTAGTTAAAAATAGAATTTGCATCTTTATAATGAAGTTTCAAAACTGACCATTTTTGATGACTTGTCATTTCATGACAATTTTTCGGCAAAGAGTTATCAGTCACAACACATTTTTCTCAAAAAATCTCAAAAGAAGTCTCTTCTGCTCACAACAGCTGCAATTATTTGATCAAAAATACAGTAATATTGTGAAATATTATTGCAATCTAAAAGAGCTGTTTTCTATGTGGTTATATTTTAAAAAATATTATTGATTTCTGTGATCAAAGCTGAATTTTCAGCATCATTACTCCAGTCTTCAGTGTCACACGATCCTTCAGAAATCATTCTAATGATATTCTAATATATTTCTGATTATTATCAATGTTGAAAATAGTTGTGCTGCTTCATATATTTGTGGAAACTATGATCCATTTTATTTTTCAGGGTTCTTTGATGAATAGAAAGTTCAAAAGAACAGCATTTACTTGAAATAGAAATGTTTTGTAATGTTGTAACTTTTGATGCATCCTTGCTGAATAAATGTTGCTGTTGTTGTTGTTTTGGAATACCTTTGGAATCACATGCACAATAAAACCAGGAACATGCATAAGAAAGCACATGAGGTCAGTTTTGATTTCATGTTGACTTCAAGCTAAACTCAATTTGAAGGGTAAATGTAGTGGCAATTAAATTCAGATAAATGGCTGTACTTCTAAGAGCGCGCTCAGACGTGAGTCTAAGGGAGTGAATTTGTTTATTACAGGTTGAGAGCGCAAGAAAACGCATATGGATCCGCACCACTGTGTTGAAAGACACTTTAAAGTATTTGAAAGAGTGTACTAACAGATTAGAGCACTCCTTGATCTAATGAAAATCCATATTGCAAAACATTTAGCCATGAGAGAGGCATACATAATCTAATAAGACACATAACACAATTTCTGAATTACTGGTAGAGCAAATAGATAATGGAGATGAACTATATGGGCTTTATTTGATAAAGTCAAAATAAATGAGAAATGGCCCATAAATATTCTCATATTCGTTATTATTATATCTCATATTATAAAAAAAACACACACACACATTGGCATTAACACCGACTTAACCTTATTCATGTTTTACACCATGCACTGTAATAAATTATATAGCCACAGTCGTACTTTACATACCGCTGCACAAACTAATGGTCACTCAGATGTGCACGTCAATGTTAAACCAATCAGTCGTTCCTGAAGGCACAGGAAATAGACTTTATTAGCACTCACCTCCTCTCCTAAGACAACTTTTAGCTCTCATCTACACAATTAGACTAAGTGGCCTGTCACTGACCATTTAGATTCATATTCATTGTCCACACAGCGTCAGAATTGCCATGAAAACACTGCAACACGGATGGATCTGGTCGTACACGCATGTGACCTCAGATTAAGAGTCGGTCAAGCCATTCCTAAAAGACATCAGTTAGCTGAAGAGCCGAAACAGGGCGACTTAACATGCATTAAACACATTTGCAAGCTTGTTGCAACACCCTTTTCTTACTGTGGCAGTATGACAGTACTATGGAACTCTATTATAACCATATAGGCTACTTATTTTAGCATAGTAGCTACATAAAACACGGTATAACAATGGTACAGAGGACAAAATACAAAAAAGTAATAGTTATCCTACTTTTTTGTTGTGCATATCAAGGTGAGGATATACTATCAAAATACAATGACAACATCACTGATTGCAAGTGGATTTGGCCGTGTACTGTACCTTGGTCCAGGGGCGTAGAATTTAGTAGGGACGCTAGGGACGTGTCCCTACCAATATCCAGTGACACTGATATATCCCTAGCAATAATTTCGATCAAAACTTAAAATATATTTATATATTGTTGTCCCCGTCCCCACCAATTTCAAAATCAAACCTACGCCGCTGCTTGGTACCACGGTATTCTTGGAAGTAGGCCTATTTGAGTGCCATGTAAGAACCATTATAGAACATTTCATTACAAATAATAGTAGCCAGGTAGAACTTTAGTAGGCCTATTTTTGTTAGTGTTTTCTTTTGTGCAGAATCAAGAACTGGAGCTCTGAAGAACAATTTTCCAGCACACGTAGCCTACGTCTAATGTGCCAATACAACTTTAAAGAGCGCTTCATCTGGAAACATCTTTTAAAAAGCAGTTTTACATACATTCTAAATCATAAACATCTTCCAAATGTCTATATAACATCTGACAGGAAACATCTTTGAGACGTATCGCAGATGAGCAAACACTAAAAAATAAATCTTCTAGATTAAAAAAATAGACGTCTCTCCGATGTATGTGTGCTATCAGTCTATTAGGCCTATTTTTCTTTTTTAAGCTCATAAATGTAGCCTAGTCATTAAACTCTTTGTTGCACACAGATATGAACCCTATTTTTATTCTTTATGCCAGCTGAATGACATTATATTAAAGGCAATCATTATATTTCTGAACTCAAAGATCGCCTTCGTCATTACCTTTCCCGCCATGTGATTTGATCTCGACCCTCGAGCGCCATCAAGTGGTGTGTGTTGAGATCAACATGTAACTGAAGTGCACTGTTTAAATCGCCCTCTAGGCGGCGGTGTCTTAAAAACAAACGAAAACTCACAGCTGACGCTCCTCGGTTGTTTACAGTTTTACTCTTTTAGCTTTAGCCATATAGCTCTCTCAGTAAAACCGTTTAAATCGTGTTTTCAACATGGGATGCGACGGCGGAACCATTCCCAAAAGACACGAACTAGTTAAAGGACCGAAAAAGGTTGAAAAGGTAAAAAACTTGCTTTAAACGCTCGATTATTTGTCAATAAACCTCATGATATTAGCATGTAAGTTAGCTTTGTAGCACGACTTGCCTATAGTGAGTTGACTTTAAACTCTTATATTTTCTGAAGCTTCTGTAGAATGTATACATACATACAACAGACATACTATACTAGTATTTTTAAATACACAATCGTATCATTTTTTTGTAAGTGATGTTTATATTATGGTAACGTTGAAAGTCAGTATCATGGCATAGCATAGGCATTAATATTGCCACAGTACAATGGTATTTCTTACATTACAGTTTAAATACCGTCGTTTATGAGTATGGAAACAAATGTAACATTTTACACAAAAATAGATTCACACAAATACAATATTATATTTAATGTGAAATATTTTAATATTGAAGTATAATATTATCAGTAACATTTTACTATGTTTTATGTCAACGTAAGTTAATGCATTTGACTAACAATGAGCAATATATTTGTACAGAATATATACACATTTGTTAATGTTTCTTAATATAAATGTTCTACTATTGATCTTAAAATGTGATTAACATGAACTAAGATTAATAAGTGCTGTATAAGTATTAATTGTTAGGTCATGTGAAGTGTAACCAAATTATGTAACTGTATAACATTTGGAATTGAAATATTGTAAACGTGATAATTTTTTTTTTAGCTCACAACATTAATTTATAGAGTCTGTATTAAGGCTTTTTTTGGTGAGTGCCGTTAATATTTGTAAATCTCATTCTGAATTATGTTGTTAGTGTCATTTTTTATTTAGTGCCCCTCATAAATCAGACATCTTTAATTTCTAGTAGTATTATGGCTAATACATCAGAACTTGTGTTTTACAGGTCGATAAAAATGCAGAACTCGCTGCCAAATGGAAATACTGTGCATTGAGTCAGGAGAAGCTGAAGCGGCCTATAGTCGCCTGTGAGCTGGGCAGGTACCGATTCATTTATCTTCATGTTTTACTTTTGTTTGATAGTTGTTTTTCTAGTTTAAAGGGGTCATATAATGCCATTTTTGTACAAGCTAGTATGATTCTTTAGGGTCTAAATTAAAAGTTTGTAATATACTTTAATTAAAAATTCTCATTAGTATTGTAAGAAAACACTTGTTTTACCTGGTCAAAAACAGCTCTGTTTTCAACACGCCGTTTCAGTGCATATGACTTTAAATGATAATGAGCTTTGCTGACTCCGCCCCTCTGTTCTGTGTGTGTGTACACTGCAGTCTATGGTACACCGTTTGTAACACAATAACCATAACGCGTTGTTCAGTATAAACGTGGGATTATGAATTATATTGAGAACATCATACATAGAAAACATGCCGTAATGTACCCTAAGTGTAAACCTTAGACGCATTCATTGTGAAGCGTGCAGCTAGCGATTTGCAAAGATTAATATAAATATTAATATAAAGTTTAATAAAACGTTACACTCACTTCAGTTGTTCTAGAGGTTCAGCAGGAACACGAATATCTGGTACCGATCCTTTATTCATGAGCTGCTTCTTAGCAAAACCAGCTTTATACTGACCCTCGTTTATAAAGCAGTCTGGTGAGAAATGATTCGCGCAAACATGAGAGCATTGACGTTGCTCGTGGGGAATATTCCCTTCGAAAACAAACTCAGCCACTGCGTCTTCAGCGGTTCGGATTTAGGAACATTAAAATGACTGTGTTCGTTATTACACCCAAGAACAGAACACCACAATCGCTTAGACCCATTCTGCTCATAGACAGTGCTCCAGCAGATCAACAATGACCGCGCCGGTCCGCGCAGACTATGATTGACAGCTCCCTCATGAGCGAGGGCGGGTCTGTGTTGAAACGATGCTGTCAATCAACAATTGTGGGAGGGGCTTCCGAGCGTGTGGCGTCACAAGGTCGAACGGCTTGATTTGAGGCAGGGGAAAACATATAAGGAGATTAAAACAAAACCACTGGATGGATTTTTATCATTTTATGATGGTTGTGTACAGGCACTGCCAACACACATTTCAGTACAATCAACTTGTAAAAGTGCATGTACCATTAAATGACCCCTTTAAGGTTTTTGACATCATGTGGCCTCGTAAAAATTCACTGTGCCAGTTCGATGTTCATATGTACAATTAGTAAGCAGGATCAATGCATAACAGAATTATCATCCGATGGGCATTACCGCAAAATAAACCCCGATACAAGTCGACCTCTGCTTAATGTCATGATTACCTTGTTGGGATTTATTTTGACCACTAATGACATTCTACCTTACATAACCTCTGTTATAAAAGATTTGCCATCATTCTTGCATACAAACCAACCATTGCTTAAATGTGGTATCTGAAATAAGATCCGAGTAACCACAGGTCAAGCCATGGATGGATCCTCACGAAAAAGCCCCACAGTTTTCAATAGGATTTGAATTTTTATTTTGAATAAGCGTCTTTCAGCAACCAATAAGAATGCATAACTCTCAGCTCTGGTTGGCATATTTTACCATATTTAAATCCATTCTTTGCAGAATTTCATTTATGACACAGACACCTAAATCAGTGTGAAATATTACTCTTCATTATTTAGTATGCACTTATAATATTTATGCCAATACACTGTTACTATAGTGTTAATATAGTAAAGCAATTTTAAGTAAAGTACACTGTAAAAAATTGCTGTAGTTTTTACAGTAAATATTTACAATAGACTACTGTATTTTAAAATTTACAGTATTTTTTCCATTTTGCTGTATTTTGCCATGTGGGCGCGTGCGTATTGGTGTGAATTTTAGAGGTCCAATAAGATACTGTGATAGACCACTGTTATTGCATGTTCCTATGACTTCTGGAAACATGATTATGCAGTAAATGCTACTGGATATCATGCATACCATTTGTAATTTTTAAAATAGTTTTTTTTAAAGAAGAAAAAAAAGGTTGCAAAATGTTATGAGCTTCACAAATCAATAACACTAAAGTAATAAATACAGCGTTTTTAGCGAATTGTTTACACCTTTTAGACTCTGACATTTGATTATATAACGTACATCAAAGTAGTTTAAAACTGTTGGCTTTCAAAATCGGCGTAGCGCAGTGCGTGTGATGTCATTTCGTCAATCGTCATCTTCAGTGGACATCTTGGCAGTTGGGACTTTCCACGCGCTGCATCATCGACACTCAATTTTCGCGCTCACCTCATGCGCGCAACGATTACCAGAGGAGGACCTCGAATGAGAGTGAGACGAGGTGCGTAGCCAGTAATTCATGCTTTAGTGTAAACGTGAAATCCTGTTACATCCACAATATTTTAACTATTATTTTTATTTTGTGACGTTGCAAAATGGATAATCTAGATTATTTGTCCAATTTCATGATTGTGCTTGGTGAGTCCAGTAACTAAACGATTAGCTGGCTATATTTTCTTCAACATGAAAGTGTGGACGGCCTGTCATTTTACTTTTAAATTTTTGATAAGTGTTCGGTATAAAATTATTTTACGTTGTTGTTGGTAGTAGACATGTAACATTAAGCTTGTAAACATTGCAGTTAAATTGTGTAGGTTTTATGCAACTAGTGTTTAACTTGACTGCCAAGCCTTTAGCTAATAGCCCGTGTTTGTTCGATTTAAGATGCTGTAATGAAGTGGTTTTTATTTATTTAATTTGGTTAATATTACTTGTAAGGGTGCTTGGTATTCATATTTGTAATTTAGTTGCTAAATAGAAAGTACATTGAAATTTGCTGTGCACATGCTTTATTGCTGTGCATTTATTAGCTTGTGAAGTTTAGATTTTTGCAGTTGAACATGTTTATCTGTCACTTATGTAATAATGAGAGCAGTACAATTCTGAGTTTTGTGCAGCATGTGAAATTGCATAGAAATGTGCCTAAATCAGGATTTAGATGTGGTGTACCTGATTGCCCACATATTTTCACTAAGTTTTCTTCATTGAAGTCGCACATATACAGAAATCACAGTGAACATCACCGGTCTGCTAAAGAGCATCAGGCACAGATGTGTGATGATAAAACATTTAAATGCCATGTAGAGTTTTGTGATGTTCAATGTGGGACACTAACACAGCTTTTGTCTCATTTAATAAGCCATATTCAGTCAGGTCTGGAGATCCAGTGCCCATTTGGTTGCAGCAGGACATTTAAGGTGAGATCTACATTTGCATCACATGTATCACGGACACATAAAATGTGCTCTGTAAACCATCTGATAGAGCCTTCTATGACAATGGAAACTCCAGTTTCAGATGTCGTGTCTGAGAGCGAGAGATCAGCTTAATTACACCTCCAATTCGCGAACTAATGACTCCTTTGAACCGATTTACTTTAAAGGAGAACTCCGGCGCAAAATGAACCTTTGGTCTTATTACACATTGTTACCTAGTCAACCGTTATCTGAGATTTGTTTTCATGATTATCGAATGTAAATAGTTTTATCTCTAAAAACAGTTTAGCCTATAAAGCTAGTATAACGCTAGTATATTGGGCATAGATCAATGACAAATAAAAATCGCTTGTTAATACCACTAACAAGGCTCAAAATAGCCCCACACTAACACGGTAGCATAATGAGGGTCCCTACCTTCAAACCGAAGCATTGAGAACTTTGTCAGTGTCCAGACAGTTTAATAAGAAGATATTTTAAACATACAGTCAACTTCGCGTATACAGGCAGGAGCCATCTTTGAAATACAGCCTTTACCAGTCAATCTACGAACGCCGATCCAAGCCTGCTGTTCGCGCTCACCTTATCACAACTTATAGCTCGTTCACATCTCACCAGCGCACTTGGATCGGCGTTCGTAGATCGACTGGTAAAGGCTGTATTTCAAAGATGGCTCCTGCCTGTATACACGAAGTTGACTGTATGTTTAAAATATCTTCTTATTAAACTGTCTGGACACTGACAAAGTTCTCAATGCTTCGGTTTGAAGGTAGGGACCCTCATTATGCTACCGTGTTAGTGTGGGGCTATTTTGAGCCTTGTTAGTGTTATTAACAAGCGATTTTTATTTGTCATTGATCTATGCCCAATATACTAGCGTTATACTAGCTTTATAGGCTAAACTGTTTTTAGAGATAAAACTATTTACATTCGATAATCATGAAAACAAATCTCAGATAACGTTTGACTAGGTAACAATGTGTAATTAGACCAAAGGTTCATTTTGCGCCGGAGTTCTCCTTTAAAGGGATAGTTCGGCCAAAAATGATATTTAAACCATGCATTACTCACCCTCAAGCCGTTCGAGATGCATATGTCAATCTTGTTTCAGACGAACACATTTTCAGTTATTTTAGAAAATGTCTTAGACCCTTCAGTGGATATAATGTGAAGCAATGGGGTCCACCTCCTTCAAGTCCCAAAATGTGCATATATCCTTCACAGAAGTAATCCATCCGGCTCCAGGGGGATAAACGAAGGCCTTATGAGGGTAATCCGTGCGGTTTTGTCGTAAAAATATACATATTTAAAACTTTATAAATGAAAATATCTGACTTCCGGCAACGATCGACGCACGTTCACGGGTTATGTTTTGCTCTGCTCTCTGGCTGCGCGGGCGCGTTCGTTCTACGTCACGACGCTACGTCCTACCTCGTACGCCGACTTCCATCACCCGTGGACGCGCGTCGATCGTTGCCGGAAGTCAGATATTTTTATTTATAAAGTTTTAAATATGTATATTTTTACGACAAAACCGCACGGATTACCCTCATAAGGCCTTCGTTTATCCCCCCGGAGCCGGATGGATTACTTCTGTGAAGGATATATGCACATTTTGGGACTTGAAGGAGGTGGACCCCATTGCTTCACATTATATCCACTGAAGGGTCTAAGACATTTTCTAAAATAACTGAAAATGTGTTCGTCTGAAACAAGATTGACATATGCATCTCGAACGGCTTGAGGGTGAGTAATGCATGGTTTAAATATCATTTTTGGCCGAACTATCCCTTTAATGAATGGTTAAAACAACTGACCTGTCCAACACTGAACTCACGAGACATAGCAAATCGGTAACACTTTACAATAAGGTTCCATTTATTAAACTCTAGTTAACTACATTAGTTAACTATAATAGTTGCTATGCAGATTTACTCCATTACAAAATCACCCCAGTCATTCAGATGATTCATTCTTTCCAAAGAGAGCTAATAAAGTCATCTGGTGAAATTGTTTTCATATCGCGATATATATCGCAGAAAAAGAAAATATCGCAATGTGAATTTTTTTTTTTTTCAATATCGTGCAGCCCTAGTGCACATGATTTACATGTTCTATAGCCAAATTTTTAAAAATGCACTTTTTAAAATGCTAAACACGAGGAATCCCAGCATATGGCTCAATCTAAAAATTCTGCACATAATCCGTATAATGATATAATCTGTACATTTTGATTATTGTAAACATGGAAGGCTAAATATTTTTATATTTAAATTTCTGATAAAATTAAATATGACCCTTCATTAAATGTAATTTATGAGATGTCTGACAAATTATGTATTTTGTCTAAGTGTATACTGTTTTTTTTTTTGATAATTGGATGTTGTGTTTTTTTTTCCACAGAGGACTTGTGGGGATTAACCCGGAAACTGGATCAAAAGTTGCTGCTGGAAAGCGAGACAAGAAAATGCATGGAATGAACACACATGTATGCACACTGTTACGAAAGCCAATGGACTTTGAATGGCTTGTCATTTAAACATAAGTATTCCAAAGGAATTGATACAAGAGACTCTGACCTGAAGTTCATGATTGAGGTTCAAGTATTCTTGCCATTTTTATGGATTTGGCAAATTAAAGGTAGGCACAATTTAGACCATTTCTTTTGTTTATGACTGAAGTTCAGTCACACTTTAGGGATGTGTGCCCTTTATAATTGATATTTAAAAGATTAGTTCACCTCAAAATGAAAATTTCCTGATAATTTACTCACCCCAATGCCATCCAAGATGCTCATGTTTTTCTTTCTTCAGTGGAAAAGAAATTAGGTTTTTTGAGGAAAACATTTCAGGATTTTTCTCCACACAATGGATTTCAACCGCAAACCTAACCCTAACATGTTGAAGTCCAAATCAGGGCAGTTTCAAAGGGCTCTGAAGTGCTTCAAAGGGCTCTTCACGATCCCAGCTGAGGAATAGGGCGATCGATCGAATACAGCGAAACGATCGGTTATTTAAAAAAAAAAAAAGTAGATACTTTTTAACCACAATTGTTCATCTTGTGCTGGTCTGCGACACGTCATCGGGTCACGTTATCAGTTTAAGTTATTTGTCTGTGTACTCCGGTTCAAAAAGGTAGGGAAGGGTGAAAAATATTTTATTATTTTCTTTTTAAATGTTCGCGACCTTTCCAACTTGATAAAGTAATACGCTGTAGCGCATCTCGGAGATGGTACAAGACAGGCATCTGTGGTTAAAAAGTATATATATATATTATATATATATATTTTAGAAAATGACAGATCGTTTCGCTGTATAAGACCCTATTCCTCAGCTGGGATCGTGCAGAGCCCTTTGAAGCACTTCAGAGCCCTTCGAAACTGCACTGATTTGGACTTCAACATGTTAGGGTTAGGTTTGCGGTTGAAATCCATTGTGTGGATAAAGATCCTGAAATGTTTTCTTAAAAAAACGTAATTTCTTTTCCACTGAAGAAAGAAAAACATGAACATCTTGGATGGCATTGGGGTGAGTAAATTATCAGGAAATATTCATTTTGAGATGAACTAATCCTTTAAATGCTTCTGTTCTCAGTGGTTCTTTCCAAGGCTAAAGCCTTTCATTTAATGTGCAATCTCCATTTGTGTTTTTCCAAATATATTTTGGAATCTGGTGCTTATGTTAAACAGACATTATTGCACAATAAATTTGTTATATTTACGAAAACCTGTTATTGTGAGTTTTATTTGACAAAAAGGCTGAAACTTAAAGCAAACGTATGTTTACACTAACTACAGTTGAGATTTTTCACTGCTGTGATAGTGAATTAAATTCAACAGTAAATGCTCTACTGTAAAATGTATAGCAGTACATGTAAGTTCATAGTTGCTCTTGTAATTTCTCTTGCATTCATAAACATTATTTCGACTAATTTTAGAGTTACAGCTGTAAAGACAATTTTACAGGAAATACATATATATACAGCAGTGTGCTGTGTTTTTACGGTACAATTGTAGTTAATGATTTACAGTAATTGTGTACATTTTTACAGTCTTACTGGCAATTTTGGTTGCCAGTAAGACTGTAAATTTTACAGTACAGTTGTAGTTAATGATTTACAGAACTCTTGTAAGTTTAACAGTATAGTTGTAGTTAATGATTTACAGGACTCTTGTAAGTTTAACAGTATCGTTGTAGTTAATGATTTACAGGACTCTTGTAAATTTTTACAGTCTTACTGGCAACCGAAGTTGCCAGTAAGTTATTGTAAATTTTACAGTAAATTTCTTACAGTGTAATTTTTCTCCCTCCAGACTGTATAATAAAGATGCGATCATTGAGTACTTGCTGGATAAATCAGCGGAGAGGCCGAACACTGAGGTTGTGACGCACATACGTGGCATCAAGGTCGGTACACACTGACAAATGATCATCCTGCTGTCAATGACGGGCTGTGAAAACAAGCTGTTCATCGGGCGATACGCCTCCACACGTGTGTTTCAGTGTTATTATAGTATCATTGATGATGAGGTTTTACAAAAAAACAAAACTTTACAATAAGCCGAATAAGGTCTCATTTGTTAGCATTAGTTAACTAACATGAACTAATAAAGAGTCAAATATTTGTACAGCTTTTATTAACATTTGTTAATGTTAGTTAATAAAAAAAATTATATTCATGTTAGTTCACAGTGCATTAGTGAATGTTAACAGATAGGCCTAACTTTTGATCTTAAAAAACTATCAGTTAATGTTGAGAATAACATTAGATAAGATTTATAAATGCTGTAGAAGTATTTTTCATTGTTAGTTCACATTAACTAATGTAGTTACAAACTAATGAAACCTTATTGTAAAGTGTTACCGGTTTTATACATATATTTTCTATTTTAATTTTGGTCACACTTTAGATTAGGGTATAACTAACTATTAACTATGACTTTTGCCTCAATTACTGCTTATTAATAGTTATTAGGGTAGTAGTTAAGTTTAGGTATTGGGTAATTACTATGTGCTTGAGACAACACCTTTTTTGCAGATTTGTGCTGTTGTGAGGGACAATTTTGAGACTGCAGAAGTCATTAAAAGTTGCATTTTCAGTTGAATTTGGGGAAACCACTTGAAACATTTGTTGTGTTGAGCTATTTCAATTACTTTTTTTTTTATTTGTTCATTCCAAACAGCTGAAAGTCTGTAAATTTAGCAAATAAACCAATGAGGGTTGAATAATTTCGATTGCAACTGTAAACACCGTAGATCCCTCATTAGCGACCATAATGAAACAACGCTATTGAGGATTCTATGTATATATATCTATGGTTTCTACAAGCGAAAACCGAGGATACCGCAGATATTATTACGTCATTGATAGCCGACAATGACAAGGGACGAGCCATTAAAACTGGAATTTCTCTGGATTTACAAATCCTTGGGAACTTTTGGGATAATTTAAGATGAAATATCACACTGTGAAAGTGAAAGAATATTTTATTACAAAAATCCTACATATTGTACCTTTAAAGTCGATTAGTCTGTTCAACCCCTATTGCATACAACATTTCTTCCACATGTTGGAAACAAACAGAACAGTCTGCAGTTTGCTAGAGCACATAGTTATACACTTTCAGAGACAGAATTCAGGACAAAAAAAATCAAAAGCGCCTTTTGTTGGTCAGGCAACATACAATAATATTTATTTTACTACACGTGCAGGGTACGGGGAGCTTTTTAATATACAGCCAAAATCAGCTGGAAATCCACTATCAGAGATTAACAGGTTAACTATAATAACCCTGATGTGTTTCACAGGACGTGAAGGAGCTGAATCTCACTGATAACTCTGCTTGGGAGGGCGAGAGGAGGAACATTAAAGGGGACTGTTATGAAGACATGAACCTCGCCATGTTCATCTGTCCTGTGGTGGGACTAGAAATGAATGGAAAACACAAGTAAGGCCACATCCGTTCAGCTCAGTGGCTGCTGTTGACTTCAACCACAATGCAACTGAATCTTCTTTTGATATCAGCAATAATATATCAGGGCTTGACATTAAGCCTTGTCTTGTGCTTGTCTTTCGGACAAGTAAATCGGTCATTCGCTTGTCCGGGTAAAAAAACGGACAAGCGTTAATGTCGAGCCCTGATGTATACTACGCATGTATGCATGATCATCACCTGTTTTTTTTTAAACAATCGGCCAATACTGAAAATACTTGCTTTTAACGGGTGATACCAATTATTGGCTGATACATCGGTGCATTCCTATTAAATATTATTAAATGTTATTGCATAAATAGAAAATACACTAAAACTTTACAGAACAAAAAATAATGCTGTAAAAATATAGATTTCTCATTGTGAGATAATGTTAGCTAATGCATTAACTGATGTTAAAATCTCATTTTATTGACAACTGATATTGGTATAATATTGGTATAATGATAAAATTGGTATAATGACACTGTTTCTAGCTAAATATAACTAATGTGATTTATACCGTTACTGTGATATTACCGGTACTTACACCATGATAGAAGATCTTCCACAGGGGAGGGGTCATGGGTGATTCCCATTGAACCTTACCCAAAAGTATTATAGGGCTAATATGCACATCCCATGCACAGAATGATGCGCTTCAAGTAGGGTTGTGCTGATGGACTATATCATCCATCATCCAGAGCCACCATCGTGATGCCACGACCCCCCACCCAGACACACACTAATCTTACTCTCTAAACTTAGCAGGGATTGCTCTGTAAATTAAATTGAGAATATAACTAATGCATATGCATGCTATTTTAAATACTGTAGTCTATGCCAGAAACGTGACGAATATTTAATATTAATATTTTAGAATATTTAACCATGTACTTATATTAAAACCGCAAACATTTTAAATTAAAACTAAAATTAGACTCGGTGTGCAAACGATCTCTGCACTGCTGTATCTACACCGCTCCTGGAACGAATCGCCGGACCGCATTCACGTGCAGTGCAACATACCGCCATACCACCCCCTCCCCCCCGACGACGATATCATCGTCCATCGCGATGTTTTACTGTAAACGTCGTCAACTGCCAATTTAGGGGACATCCCCCAACCCTACCTTGAAGCAACATGGAGTCATTGGGCCTCATTCATGAAACACGAGCAGAACGAATTTTTGTGTAAATCGTGTGTAAAGTGGTTCTGGCGTAAATTTTCGGATTCATTAAAATGTTCGTATTTTCCAAATGTTAGCCTAGTTGGTACACAAGAAATCTACACCTGCTCCCAGCCACGCGTAAATAGTGCGCTTAACACCCGAACGTTTTGCTCATTAATAAGGCTGCATTTTAATTCACCTTAATCGGGTACATATTTGCACAGCATTTTGAAAAAATATTATATATAGTAATTACATACGGTTTTTCTTATTATGAGAGCCAGTAATAGCATCTGCGATGGTGGTCTTTTTCCAGTTTGAATACTGTTTTTCCGAAGTGAACTAATTCGTTTTTTGCTCTCAAGCTTAATGTCGAACCATTTTCTTCTCACTTCTGGGAATGTTCGATTAACAGATGAAACTCCATTAACTGCATCTGTAATATGCTGCCAAGCTTCCTTTTTTTTTAGGACCCGATACGCCACTATGCACGCTTGAAAATAAAATGTGCCGTTTTGAATGAACTTCTGATAATAAAACTTCAATTCCTGCATCTGAGAATTTTGTTTTTCATTCGCATTCATGTCATAATATGATGCCCATATATAGTTGTCAGTCGGATTTAATAGGCGGGATTTATGGTAATTGAGAATGAACGTGCACGCGCATCCCATTTACGACTGATTGGAATTCATTAACACACACACACATTTCACTATCACATTTGACGTTTACGAAGTATTTGTGAATCAGGAGAAGAGTTTTCTTTACGCGCAAATCACTCGCATATTTAATCGTATATTTACGAATGTTTCATGAATGAGACCCATTGCGTGCAGCGATTGGCATTGAAAAATGCAGAAAACAACGCTACCACAGAATGAATGTAGCGAACACTGTAAAATGTGACTAAAGTGCAACACAGTAAAAGTTTTATACTTGTAACCTTGTGGTTATTGACATGACATACAAAAAAACAACTATAGATGCTGCTTTAAATTTGAAGCAACTGTTTACTAAATGGAAAATGTGTGTTCATTTTTGCATGTTCAGCCTCTTAACTCACATAATAAACCTGCTCTTGTCGGTTTCCTGTTTCCATGAGATAGCTCTTGTGATTTCATCGCAGTGTGTTTTTTTTTTTCTTTTGAGGTTTTTCTATCTGCAGACCTGTGGGTGTGTTTTCTCAGAGCGAGCTGTCAAAGAAGTCAAGACAGAGATTTGCCACAAGGTGAGTGAAAAGCAATGCTATCACTTTCTTTAGTCTTTCGTATTCTGTTTTCACTTTCGTCTGACAAATGCTGAAAAGTAAGTTCATGCATTCATGGGCTCAAGGCTAGATTATTGTAATGCTCTTATGGGTGGTTGCCCTGCATGCTTAATAAACAAACTTTAGCCGGTCTAAAACGCAGCAACTCGAGTTCTTACTAGAACCAGGAAGTATGACCATATTAGCCTGGTTCGGTCAACACTGCATTGGCTGCCTATTAAACATCGCATACACTTTAAAATCTCGCTTAGTACTTACAAAGCACTAAAGGGTTTAGCTCCCCAGTACTTGAGCGAGCTCTTAACACATTATAGTCCTTCACGTCTATTGCGATCTCAAAATTCTGGCCAGTTGATAATACCTAGAATATCAAAATCAACTTTAGGTGGTTGATCCTTTTCCTATTTAGCACCCAAACTCTAGAATAGTCTTCCTAGCCTTCCTAAAATTATGGTCATACTTTAGATTATGGTCCAATTCTCACTATTAACTATGACTTTTGCCTCAATAAACTCATAATTGCTGCTTATTAATTGTTAGTAAGGTAGTTGTTAAGTTTAGGCATTTAGTCGGATTAAGGGATGTAGAATATGGTCATGCAGAATAAGGAATTCAATTAATATGTGCTTTATAAGTACTAATAAACAGCCAATATTCTAGTAATATGCATGCTAATTAGGGATCGACCGATATGGATTTTTTTAGTGCCTATACCGATACCGATTTTTTTCCCATCAGCCTTAGCCGATGACCGATACGGGCTGCCGATTTTCTTGAGCCGATATTTGGAGCCGATACATTTTGCTCCCTCAATTTACATCATAAAAATGACATGATGTTAACAAATGTTACAGGTCTCAATTTAATAAAAGTAACATTTATTTAACGTAAAAAAATCAATATTTAACAAATAGTAAAAACATGTGAGGTAGAACAAGAACAAGTAGATAAACAATATTTAACAAATATTAAAAACATGAGGTAGAACAAAAAAAAGTTCACTGCTGAAAATAAATATTTAAGCATAAATAAAATAATTACACTATTGCACACAGTAGCAACCAGCATAATAAAGTGCACAGTGCACACTGTACTTCATTTTAAAAGTAACGAACTATTTACTGCCATGGTTTAAATTTACTACATAAAATAAAATGAGCATGTCTAGTCTCTAATATCACTGCGATGGCGAGGGAGACACACACCACACGCGTCCAAACCTCAGCCAGGTGGTCGCTGAATAAATCTCCTACAAAAAGCACGGAACAACGTTGGAATTACTTAATCCTATGACCAGTGTTCGTAACAGCTACCGTACGCATACTAGGGCTGTCAAAATTGCTCAAATGGCGTTTGTATATTCCCTCTAAAAAACATATTTGAACATATCGTCGTGCATTTGGTCAATGACGCGCATTACGTCAATAACAGGACAAATTAATACAAAGAGACATAACTACTAGTATTAAGTAGCTTATTTGAGTTTAAACATATTTGACAACGTATTACTACAAAAAAAAACGAGTAAATCAACTATTGGCCAAGACCGCAGAGCTCACTCTGGCTCGCCCGGACTCGCAGGCGCACTCTCTCTCTCTCTCTCGCACTCACCCTCACGCTCTCCGCGCATACCGGTTTAAATGAACAACAACAAACAAATGTTGAGTGCTGATCAAGAGTTTTGTGCAAGCAATTTAAGGTATATAGCAGGCTTCATTCAGTGATTGAAACAAATACATTAATTGAAGTTTCACAGTACATAGAACCGACACTGAGCGCTCCGAGCGAGCTGTGCTGTGGTAACGTTAGTCTGCTACCGCGGGCGTGTTTTTCCACATTCGAATATTAATTTTCACCTTCAAAATTCAGTTTTTTTAAACTATTCGAATATATATTCGTATTTAGAATATTCATTGACAGCCCTAATGCATACTGAACGGATAGCCTACAGCTATTTGCAGCTCCCTAAATACAATGGCAAGCAAGCAGTTTTATAGACTAGTCATTCGCGTTTTCCATTTGGACCCACAAACTTGCTTAGCTATATAGTTGCAGCCACATAACAGTTATAGAGCAACGTGTTTCCATTTTCAAAGTGTTTGACAATATTTCAGCAGTCAAACAGTTAAAAGATGCTTTGAAAGTTTAAAAGTTACCGTTATCTTGAAGCGCAGGTTGCACTCTGCTAGTGGGGGAGGGGCAGTGCAGGGTCTGCACGTGAACTGCAGCGTCTCCAGCAGCACAGAGCTGCCTGTGGACGCCTGTCTATAAATAATGCCGGGAAAAAACTATCGGCGAACGCAGCAGCCGCGTATCGGCCGATTCCGATACACGTAAAAACCGCAAATATCGGCCCGATATATCGGCTGGCCGATATATCGGTCGATCACTAATGCTAATACGTAACTAGTTAATAGTGAGAGTTGGACCCTAAACTAAAGTGTTAATAACAAAATTATTTATATAATTCACTTGCCAGCATGGATAAGTTAAAAGCTGTCATGGATGTATGCAGCACAAATCTGACTTTTTCGTTTGATTTAATCTATGGTTTGTTAGATCTAGAATTCTGAAGTAGAATAAAGTAGCGCTGGGATATTACATTTATTTGAATGAATTCAAATGAATTAACAAGAGCGAAAGATATACATTAATAGTGAAGATGTGAGTTTAATTACAAAAACAGCAAAGTTATCACCATGTTGCTGAGAAAGATAATGTAGCTTTTAGTAGCAAAGCTGTTTTGTTTTCAAAAATCATAGGGTTGAAAACCTGTTTCTATGCTCCTGAGTGTTTCTGTGTGTGCGCAATTTCTTACCTATATATTTGGAATATGGCTCAGAACGGATGCTAAAAAATCCGATCTCGTTCGCAACAACTCAAAACAGTAAAAAAAATCTGATTTTTTTGTGCCAGTGTAAATACAGCTGTAGACAATAAATGACCACTGACATATAATTCATTTCTTTACTTATGGAAATTGTGCTTAATTTTTGTGAAATGTCGATCAAATGTCAGAGCTGATTGTTTTACAGTAGATCTGAAATGTCTTGCCATTCAGTTTTTCAGAACGATTTTTCTCAAACATGTCAAACATGTTTTTTTTTGTGTGTCTGTAGAGTTTTCCATAGAGGCATTGGCTATTTGTTTACTCTTAAATGCAGCCTTTGTGAACATAAGAGGTTATTATTATTATTATTATTATCAATGTTGAAAAACAGCTGCTCCACTTAATAATTTTAACCATGTAAACCGTTTTTTATTTTTTCAGGATTTGTTGTTAAATAGACCCTAAATCCCAATTTTTGTGTGTGCATGATTTAAGCTTAATTTTATGTAAATAGAAGGTTTAATTTACCAACAAAGAGATTTTTGTATTTCTGCCTGGGAGTGATTTATAGGGATTGTATTTACAATATAGCATGCTGCGCTCAAGTGCTTTATGGCGTAAATATGTTAGTTTTATAACTTTGCCACACTTTCATCCACTCATCCAGTGCCAGCTGTGGACATGGATAATGACTTATTATCATAGGTGAAGATAAACTCTGTAGTTAAGCTGTCAGCAGCTCTGGTTATCTGCTTATGTGTGCAGGTGATTTGTTATCTCGTAATGTGTGCACTTTCTATTGTGTGTTTGTATGTTAGCGGTTGGGATTGGACGGAGTTGGACCGTGGCTAATGAGTGCGACTTGTCTTTCGCTCTCAGTAGTGAATCATTAACCTCACAGTCCCCTGCCTCTGTCTAATTGTTTTCAGGCTGAGCTATCTGACGTTTCTCTGTGGCATTTGTCTCAATTAATCCAAGCATTAAGGCGGAAATAGGGGAACTGCATCCTGAAGTCGTGTATCCATCTCTTCTCCAAGCCTGCAGACTGGAGCGTGCCTGTTGTGCTGTGCTTGGACAAACATTCAGCAACATTTGAATATAGAATATAAACCCCTAATGCTTATCCATTTCCAAGCAAATTTTTAACTATTCTTGGTGCTGTTAATCATAACCTGTGGTTATGTATTGTGTTACATGCATCTAGCTTTTGAGTAGACATTTTTCATTCTGTGTTTAACATCAGGGAAATCTGACCAGATATCACCTGCTGAATGCCCACCTAGTGAAAATGATATCTTAGTGTAAAGTATGAATATTTAGTAAAGTATCAGCAAGGACTGCTTTTGGTAAATATGAACAAGGAAGCCTGTGAAAATAGATTCACATTGTTAATCCTTTTGATCTTTTATTTAAAAAAATTCACAAAAATCTAACCTTTCCTTAAAGTAAAACAATTGAAAATGGGTGTAAAATCTCATTAATGAACATGGTTTTCTCTAATACACGTTAGCCACAATTAATGGCACCATTTTATTTAATACTTTTTGCAACCTCATTTTGCTAAGATAACAGATCAGAGACCATTCCTCCATATAAAATCTCTCCAGATCCTTCAAATTCCCAAGTCCTTGTTGATATACTTTCCTTTTCAGTTTTCTAGGGTTCAGATCAGGGGATTGGGATAGCCATGGCAGAACCTTAATTTGTTTTAGTTAAAGGTGCTATATGTATTTTTTAGCGGCCTCTATCGGTGATGTTTCAGATTGCAACCAATTTTTACAAGAGCGCTCGTGCTCGAACACAAGAGCGAGCACTCATGGTACCGGTCACACTGAGACTTTCAACACACCCGAGAAAGCATCACACAACATGCTGGAAACTCATGTAAACTCCCACTGCAACGTTACAATAATAGGCTACTTTTATCAGTTTGACGTTGAACTAATGCTCCATGCTCGTACCATGATAACGTTACATTTGTGGTGTTATCTAGCATAATGCATTTCACTAACTATTCGTGTATCTTTCACAATCAGCAATGTCAACATAGGTATGATAACGAAAACGGTTAGTGAACTAGACTGAACAATTTCAGTGTAACAGTAAGATCGTAGGAAGTAACATTACTGTACTGAACGTGTCTGGAAATGTGTATTATAAACAATATGATAGTAGTGGGATGAGTGACGTTAGACAGTAGATCTAGTACATAAAATAAAAGTTACAGCCTAAAGCACCTACTTTTTGTTATCCTGGAACAGTCTGTATTCATTTCATGTCTCATATATGTTGTAGTTTACCTTGCTATTTCATTACAGTTTACCATTATTTATTTCAGCATATCTGAAAACTTGTAATTTATGACAATAAAAATAGCGGAGGTATCCATAATTCAAACGCTCTGCCGATGTTGATCCGTGTTTTCGTCCTAAGTCGATCCGATTCACGTTTGGCCTGACGAGCTTCAGCAGATACATTTTTGTTTTGTTTTGTATATTTATGTGGACTTTTTGTTGGAGTGTGTGTTGTGCTGGAGGCAGGGCGTTGTTTGGTGTTATCAGACTCCATGTCGTCAGCTGCAGTGCCGTCGCATAGACTGTATATAAAGGAGAGAGGCTCGGGAGCGCGCATGCACGTCACATCCGATGGATTTCGCAGAAAATCCGACCCGGAGACTTCACATAGAAATAGGAATACTGGCCTTCAGAGGTAATAGCAAAAGCCGACAAGTGGATCATTGTACTGTGTGATTACAACCCCTTCACACACAGGCAATAAAAAAAGGATTCATTTTAGAAGAAAAGTTACATATAGCACCTTTAAGGTTGACCAAGTGACCAATGTTTTTATTAATTTTGAGGTTTGTTTTGGATCATCATCCTGATGGAAGATCCAACCACGGCCCATTATAGTAAGATTTCGAGCAGAGGCGGTCAAATTTAGATTTTTTTATCTGTTGGTATTTGATAGAATCCATGATGCCATGTATCTTCTGAACAAGATGTCCAGGACCTCTGGGAGAAAAATTGGCCCACAATTTCACCAATTTCTACCAGCATTATATTTAACCGTGGGAATGCGGTACTTTTTTTAAAAAACTATTTGCCGAGCATTAAGACAATACAGACACACTTCTTTTCCAGGCAGATTTGTAACATTTCCTTACAGCCACTGTCTATTTTGTGAAGCTCAACAATCTTTTGCTGCACATCAGAACTATTTTCTTTGGTTTTACTTATTGTGATGGACGATTAAGAGAATTTGGCCTTTGTGTTTCCTTATAATGGCTGGAAAATGTCATGTTCCTTCCTAGTCATCCTGATGTGCTAAAAAGTGTAGATATGAGGGGGAAATAATGTGCCAATAGTTGTGGCCAACGTGTATTAGAGAAAAACAAACAATACAGATTTATTTTCACAGCCTTTGATCATATTTACCAAGGGTGCCAATAATTGTGACCATGACTCTTTTGACTAAATGTCTGACAGTGGTCGTGATGTAAATTTGAATGGCTGTATTGTGTTCCTCTGTCAGCATCGCCTAGCCTGGTTAAAACCAGACCATTCTCAGTTGTAACTGAGTTATGGTCTGGCAAAGCGTCATAGACAAATCATTTCCAGAGGGGCGTCACCAACGGACGTCGCGGATAGACCTAAACCCAATCAGAGCGATGAAGGAGATGACGTATGCAGAGCGGCGTAGAAACATCTCCCGAGTGTTGTTCTTTGCTCGGTTTTTAACTAAAAGGAAACGTTCAAATCGCTTAAAACAGACGCGATAGCTGACTCGAACGAGTGATGTTCGACGGCGCATCCATCTTTGTAATGTAGGCTTCAAAATCCCAGCGCTGTCGTCATCGTGTAAAGCCCACCCCAACGTTTCTGATTGGTGCCGCGATTTCGGCGGATTGGAAATGGGCTTGAATGAGCTCTTTGCCAGACTAACTTTCAGAGCAAATCTAAATTTGCCGGAAGTTGTCTGGGTTTTCCCAGGCTAAGCATCGCCTAGTTTAAGTAATTGGCATTGGCTCCATGTTGTAACAGAGAATTTTCTGTCCAAGTTACTAAAGAGGCACATTTATTAAGACCACAGTGGAAATTAATGTGCTTGATGTGTATACACCTGGGTTTTCATCAGTTGAATGACAGCGCTAAAAATATTTGTTGAAAACAGTGTTAAAATCACAATTTCACAATATTTGTCAATTTCAAAACAGATTTTCATGCCTTTTTTCCTCTACAGTTTATCCAATTGAGAAACAGTGCATTATACAGCAGTTAATAAATACAATAAATAAAACTATTACAATTACTAACTGTACACCAGTTACATTACTCAACACTCACGTAACATCAGTGTTTACAACATTTAAATCTCATGAGCTGCACTGCCACGTGACTGTGGACATGACACATTTACACTTTAAAGCAGAAAATGTTTCAGTTAATCCTTCCTTCATTTTTACCATGCACAATGTGGTGATGGTTATTTGACCTTAAAGGAAACTGAAGTTTGCTGTTTTCTGATGTTGTACAGAAGTTGAAAAGCCCGTAAACAGTGTGGAATTCTCTTTCTTTGTGACTTTTCTTTGTCATTTCTGTGATGCTTGCTCAGACACAGTCCTCTGGTGTTAAAGTGAGAGTGCTGTTGCTGACTTCCACCTCTGTGGTGAGATGCCATGATGGCTGAATGGGAACAGAAGCTTGCTGGAGAACTTTATGCCTGTGCCACAGTTCCAGACAATCCACGGCCTCTGGGAAGCTTGCGGTCTCAAATTTATTAGCAAACATGCACTCCCTTTCGATAATCCATGGTAAATCGCCAATCCCGAAAATGCAGATATCTCTGATGTATTGTCCTGTAGAAACAAACAGCTTTTTTGATATCCATTCACACAAAATTGCAACCCTAAGTCTACCTCAGGAAAATAAAGTCTGTTGTTGGGAAGTTGGGTAACACTTTATTTTACAGTGTCCTTGTTACATGTTACATGTACTTACCGTAGTAATAACAATAAATTATGCTTAATTACATGCAACTAACCTTCAACCAAATCCTAATCCTATGTAGTTGCTTAATATTACTCAGTATTTAAATATATAATTACACTGTAACAATGACACATTAAAATAAAGGGTTACACTTTATTTTAAGGTGTCATTGTTACAGTGTAATTAATTATTAATATTAAGCAACTACATGTGCTTACTATAGGGTTAGGGTAAGATTAGAGTTTGGTTCAGGGTTTGTTGCATGCAATTATGCATACTTTACTGTTATTACTATGTTAAGAACATGTAACAAGGACACTGTAAAATAAAGTGTTACCAAATAAAGTGTAACCGGAAGTTGTGATGTTATGATGCCTGTGCAAAGGACTCGACTGGATCAGCCTGAAATATTTATGGGTGGGAGAAAATTATTCTCCAGTGCATCACCAATATAAACTTAAGCCTGCATTTAAGCGGTTAAATGCACTTGCATCACCAAATGCTTTTATGATGCAAAATTAATTTACTTGTGTCTTAAGGACAGGACAAAACATCTGGGGCCAGATTGACTAAACAGAGCAAATTATCGTGAGATCGCAATCCCATAAACAGATAGCAGTGGAAAGTTGTGCGGTGAATCTACTGGTGATGGACAAATTAAAGATCACAGACGCAGCTGCTAATTTCCATTACAACCAACACAATCTACCAAGAGCAGCGCAATTTAACTTAAAAAAGTAGAGTCGATGATAATAGTTGCAGGTAATCTACTTCCAACATGCACGGCACATTAAAAATAACGTGGATTGGCGAACGATATGTTCGGATAATGTCTTCTTCTGGCATTCCATGTAAATGAACACGAGTGGAGGAGAAAAGTCTCCCCCGTCTCTCACACGCTCTTGTTCTCTTGTGGTTTCTCCTCCTACAGCAATTATAGCAGCATGTCAAGCGCAAAATGTTTATAGACATGCTTTTTGTGGCGTTGAATAATGCTGCAAATACCAGCAAATTGACTATTGTAAATCACGTTGCACGATTTATTTAAATGCTCTCCGCCCATTAATTTGCCGTATGAAAGGGAAACCACTACAAATGCATATGCAATAATTCAGCTGCAAAAATACCTGTCCACACCGTTTCATCAACTTTCTCACTGCATTTCTCTATTAAATCCTGACTTGTAGTTTTTCAACGCCAAAGGAGGGTTTGTGCTGGCGCAATCTGATAGTAAATCTGGAATCGGATCGTGAGGTGCCTAAAGATTCCCACCACTTGATATAAATCCAATGTTTTAGTCAAGAAGTGTTTGCACCTTTACATCCCTGGTGTGCTGTTCCTTCTTGGTCCCTCCATTTGATTGCACGAATGTTACCTTCCCATCCACCGTCTACGTGGCTGCCAGGTGCTTCTAAAAAAAAAAAAACATGGATGATGAGTTTTATGATTTGGAGATTATATGCTTCTGAATAGTTTTCTGTCATCAGTATTACTTCTCGTATCTTGCTTGATTTTTAAAATCACTTGCTGGAACTAACATTGAGTCAACAGCGCTTCTAAAAACCGACCCATTCTTATGGTTATTGACTCACTGGCACTATCACATGAGAGCAACACTTGAACTAAATTGAGCTGCATGATGACACCATAGTCTTTTAGAGCTACTTTATGGCTGAATTAAAATTTGTTTCATAACTGATAAATTTCACAGCATTGACTGCTTTGAATTGAATCAACACTGAACTGCTTGAGCTAAATAATAAACACTTATCTTTTTAGAGCTGCCTTACAGCAGAATTTGTCTCATATTTGATGAAGTTTACATCATTGGTTGTTATTTTCCTGTTTATTGCTGTGAGGCTGCTTTGAAACAATTTACTTGACTTGATTATTGCATTTTGGCTTACCCTTCATATGGTTTAGCGTCACCCAGTAATGCTCATCTGGGCTGAAGGTGTCTCTAGACCACTCCAGCAAGTCTTTGGCCACTGGGTCGCTGAGGACAAACTCCACAAACGGTCTCGTCAAAGAGTAATAAGCGGTCCCGAAGTAAATAGTCATCTTGTGTGGAGGTGGTCCCTTCTTTGGACCTTTGGCCCTTTGTGCCACATGGATGCCCTTTCCCTCAACATATGGAAACTCTGTCCTGTGCTTCATAGTGGGTGGCTGCTTGATTCCCGGCGTCATGTTCCTGTCTTTCCATTCAGATCCTTGCATGTACCGGACTAACTCCAGGTTGCTCTGGATGGGGAAGTCCTGGCCGCACAAATTTATAACTCTTCTCCATTTTATGGGAGACTTCACCAGGTCTTTCATGCAGTTGATGTCAGCCTGTAGCCGGGAAAAGCCAGCATAGGTCACCTTTTCGCTGACGGACGCCAGGAAGACGTTCGAGAAGCACCCAGATAGGCTTCTGACGCTTGTCTTGTATTCTTCCAGCGCTTTATCGTCGATGTGAATGCAGTAGACATTCTGCGGCGCGTAGATGGCTCTCAGTAGCCGCACAAACGTTTCCAACTCTTTGTGTATGGTGATGATGAAAGCCAAAGGAAAGTCTTCCTCTTCTTTGCTCAGCGGTGCCATAATAAAGTGTAGCTCTGACTGCAATAGAGTGCAGTTTGAGTCTGGTTTAGGCTCATAGCTGATTTTATTACAGTCTTTTCGCTGCCATTTAAACCCAGGAGTTGCAAGTGGAAGAATATCACAGGTCTTGGAGGCTGGCAGAGATTGGCTGGTATTTGTAGGAAGAGGTGCATTGGATATATTGGCTTTCAGGTAGATGGCAGAACATATTAGGATACAGATTCCAAGGCAGAAGAGAAAACTGCACTTGGTGTTCTCAAGCTGGACCATAATAGTCCAACATCTGAAAAGCAGCTATAGACCTCCTAAAACAGAACAGAAGAGCAAAATAATCAGAGAAGCAATCATCTCAACTAGGGGAAGTATTCAAATATATGTAGTTGTATTAAAATATTAATTGCAATCTATATAGTTCCCTTTCCACCTAGTTTCCAATTAGTTCTAACTCGAAGGGACAATTTAGACGACTAAATACACTACTGCTCAAAGGTTTGTGATCTGTATTATTTTTTTAAGTTTCTTATGCTCATTGGCTCACCAGTGCTGTTTTTAAAATAAAATAAAAAATACATGCGACAGCTTGAGCAGACTCCCAAATGTGTTGTACTACCACAACTCTTTTAGGGTTCATGGTCACTAACCCAGGAGGAAGCTCGTGTAGTCCCTACTAGCCGTTTGTTTTAGTCCCTAAAAAATGATTTCTGTAAAATAAAATATCTCCCTTTGCTTTGAATTTTGAGCGTTTTAACTTTGCAGATGTTGTTTATGCTCAAACGGCAACATTACACACTAACTAAAGTTAGAAAAGTGAAATCATAATCAACCACCCCTTTTAAGTCATTAAAATTTTTTTAAGCTAATAAACATCTAAACATGCAAAAATCAAATAAAATCATCTAATTATGCCTTCAGACAATGACATAAAGGTGGATAATGAACATTAAACTCCCGAGCAGCTTCTACATAGCAAATACAGTATTGCAGGAAGGATGCTGTGGGTTTTGGCTAATGTTGTCACGTAGAAAGGATATGTATCCTCATTTTTGACTGTTGAGAACACCGCTAGTTGATGCTTTGTTTTTTGAAACACACATTTGCACAGATGAACGGATTAAATAATTGTTTTTTTCTGTAATAGTTGCTCTGTAAATTGAAACACCTAAAGCAAATGTTTATAGTTTCAAAAGTAAGCCATTTTATATCTCGGAATGATTAATTTAGGCAATGTTTAGATGAAACCTATAATCTCGTACCTAATCAACAGCAAAATGTACTTAGTACTGTATGTATGTTTCAGGCACTTTGAATTAGTGTTGTCACGATACTGGAACTTCCTAATTCGATACGATACCTTGAAAATATTGATATTCGTTACCATTTTCAATACCACGGGAAAAACTGCCATACGACATGCAGATAATTGTCACACCTATTAGTAGATGTGTGTTTTGGCTCCCCTCTAAGCTCTTTTGTGAATTCATGGACAGAAGTAATCATATCATTAAGTAAGTACATGAAGAAACATCTGCAGTATTTATGAACAGGGTGTCTCCAGTACTCAGGAGCATTTATATCTCTCATAATGACGCCTAGTGATAAAATACCCTGTCATAGCTTTTGACAGTGACAACGATTGCCTTCATATCTCAGTAAGAGGACAAACGTCTTCTCCCCCTGGATATAACTCTCTTGTGTCACTCTTTTCTAAGCACAGAAACCCTCGGGGTTCCTTTTAATAGCGCCCCAGAGAGCTGCGTTCACCACGAGGTCTGGTAAAGGTCCCAGTTGCTGAACACAAAGGAGCTGTGGATATCAGTTTTGTCTTGGTAATGTAAGTTGTTTAATGAACCCGCGGGGGCTTTTATAGCACGCTGACATGGTCCATTGGCACATTAAAGAATGAAAAGCACACACTGTTCTATCAGCATCATGTAGTGTTTAGAAGTTTAAGATATGGCTATGACTGTCAAAATTACTTCTAGTTTAAAGCCATTCAGAGGATTGAAAAAATGGTGGGATTTTAAGAACATCTTTTTGATGATAGCACTGTATGACATAACATTTCTTTACAAGGTGTGACTGAATTTCACTTAAGATGTATTATGTACACTACAGATCAAATGTTTGGAATAATTACTTTTTTAAAGACATTTTTTGTGCTCACCATAGCTGCATTTATTTGATTAAAAATACAGTAATATATGTGAAATAATATTATAATTTAAAACAACGGTTTTCTATTTTAAAAATATTGTAAAATGTAATTTATTCATGTGCTGCAAAGTTGAATTTTCAGCATCATTACTCCAGTCTTCAGTGTCACATGATCCTTTAGAAATCATTCTAATATACTGATATCTTTTGACCGATAGTGTACGTCACAATATAGTAAGGGTGTTTTCCGATGAACAAAAATAACAAATCAAAGATTAGAGATGAAGGGAGGAGGGATGAAGCGACAGACCTTTTTGATTACACTTAAATAATTTTAAACTATTTTATCAATACATTTTATTATTGAAGGATTAACTAATTGTTCTGCACAGAATGCTTTTTAATGCTTGCTGCTTCTCATTATGTAGAGTGTTTCAAGTCAGCAAATACATCAGTATTGCAGGAAGGATGCTGTGGGTTTTGGCTAATGATGTCACGTAGAAAGAATATGTATCTTTTTTACCGCTCTAAATTGAGAACATCAGTACACATTGAAACACACATTTGCACAGATGAACTGATTAATTAATTGGGTTTTTTTTCTGTAATAGTTGCTCAATAAATTGAAACATCTAAAGCAAATGTTTATAGTTTCAAAAGGAAGCCATTTTATATCTCGGAATGATTAATTAAGGCAATGTTTAGATGAAACATGAACTATAATCTCGTACCTAATCTACAGCAAAATGTACTTGTATGTATGTTTCAGGCACTTTGAATTAGTGTTGTCACGAATCTGGAATTTCCTAATTCTATACGATACCTTGAAAATGCTGACATTCGTTACCATTTTCAATACCACGGGAAAAACTGCCATATATACCGACATGCAGATAATAATCTCATAATTTTTTGATAATTTGGTTCTAGTAGTTTACACACCACACAGGGAAGCTTTATTTAAATCGTTGACTTACATTTACCAAAAAAGACAAGCAGTTAGTAATAAAATTAGAACAAATTGCAAATGATAGCTCAAATAAATACAATTGAATAGACAGACAAAATAAGTAAACATGGCTTTACATTTTTTCAGGTGGGTCTGACCGTATAATCAGGTAAGAAATACTGCAGAAATGAATCAAATGGTTCAGTAGGTACTGTAGTTACACAACATGTGATTTATTTGTCAACTATTTACATTCCAAAACTGACTATTTACCTGAATGGTCAGCAAGACATATTTTGATATTTGTATTTGACCATTTAAGCACAATACGCCATGAAAAATAAGTACATTTTGTTCTCCTAATCTGTTTAAGGGGCAGCTTTATAGAAGTGCCACTTATATAGATCAGTGGTGCGCGTGCTTTTGGTGTGAGTGCGAAACTTGCGTGAAAGACTAAAATGATATGCAATACAAGCACTATTCAACCGTAGCGAATGAGTGAGAGGAATCTGGTGTGTGTCAATTTGCCATCGGAGAGAAGTGAGAGCGAGAACGCACAGCTGGTATCAATGTATCGATACTACAGAAAAGGAGTATTGGAACCGTTTCAGATATACATATCAAAACAATTGAATAGAAAAACACCTGTGCTGTGCTAGATGTATGGTTTTTATTGGTAATGCAAGCTCTGTGCTTTGTATTGAAACATGATTCATGTGATTTTCTAAATGTCTGAGTAGTTGATAGATATCAAACAGACTTTTTACAGAGGTAAATTAACGATCAGCATAATTGTATCGATTTCATGCGGTAACAGCGTGCGGATGGAAAGACATTATGCTTCAACAGGGTTTCGGTTTGTCGTTTTACTAATGGTGTATAACCAGCCTTTAAATGATTAACATTTTAATGTATTTTTATATATCAAATTAAATGCCTTTTTTTTTTCTTTTTTTCTTTCTTAGATTTATTTGTAGTTACAAGGAAAACAAAACCTCTTCACAGTCTCTCTTCTACACGTTTTGGTTTTCTGAAGCATAAGCAAGTGTTTTTAGATACAATAAATCCATGACTCAGTGACCCTACCTTTTAGCTCAAGCCGTATCCACTCCTGTTAATGGGAAATGTGATTAAGCATTCACAGACGTACTCGAGGACGCCGACTTCTGCATAACCTCTATCTAACGTGCTCCACCTTGACTAGAAATCCACATCCAAGCAGTTACTGTCAGTACATCTGCCTTTGTGAGAGAGGAAACGGCTTTGGGTGTGAGCCGTTGTTGTTATGCTGTCCTCCCACGACCGTGTGCTTTGGCTGCTCGGTAACACTCCCCGTGAGAGGAGAGGAGGAGCGTAAGGAGGTGAAAAATGGTTGGTCCAGCTCAAGCAGTACTTTGCACCTCTTTTGCTCTTTAACACTCCCACGTTTCTCGTCTCAGAAGAATGATTGTTACGGTAACGGCAGTATAGCAGTTAACAATGTCTAACCCGTTCTGTAACCTGTTGTGTTGAGCAGAACTGGTTTATCCACATCCAAATATATATGGGTTCATGCTTGCCAAGTTGCCTAGTGAACGTCTTTGGGGAATTAGTTGCTAATTGTTTTGATTCTTAAAGGAATAGTTGCTTTCATGCATAAAATGAAAATTATGTCAATATTCTTTGATCTTTGAATGTGAACATGGACTGTGTCAAGCTTTAAAAAAAAAGTAAGTGTAAATAAAAGACCAAAATTTAAATTATCGCAAAACAATTTGGAATAATGTGCATCTACTAAATTGAATACGATATGATTAGGAACAAAGAAGTCAATATGAAACTGAAATGGACACCATTTAAAGCTCTCTCTGCCTCATGTACTCTTGATTCCAGAAGCATTACCTCCTTGTTTTTTCCCACCTGAGCACAGAGAGGGAAAAGATCTGACCTGTGGTGAGCCCAAGAGCCAACGGCCTGTGTTTGCTGATCAGCGAGAGAGATTAGCGCTTTTGTGTTTGCCAGAACTGCTTGTGTGCAAGACAATGGCTGCTGCTGAATTCCTCACATCATTCACGAGTGTGTGTGTGTGTGTGTGTTTGGCTTTCAGTTAACTTAGTCATTGGTGCAACATTTTTGCTGTTTTTCAGGCATAGCAGGTATACCTGCTTTGTACGACATTCTCATATCTGCTGTGACCCGGTTTGTGACTAGAGTTGGAATGTAATATCAATTCAAATTCTGGAATCTTACTTAAAGTCAGGAATTGGATTCCTCTTATCGATTCCTTTTGTGTGCATTTTAAAACCATTCAAGCGCAAGAAGACTCGCGCGCTGTTTTGAGCACAGAAAGCCGCCTCATGCTGAATAGCGTGGGACACTGAACTGAGGATCAGCTCTCTTCCACTGTAATACAATTAAATTCCTTGCCAAAAGAGAAGTAAAGGCAATGATTTTGTCTTTCCTAAGTCCTATGCCCTCAGGCCTAGTGCCAAAAACAGCTATTAAGAAGTCAGGATTAGTAGGAATTACATAGATATTATTATAGGACAAAACATGTGAGCTCTTGTGGCGGGTGAATGCGAACACATATTACATGCAGAACTAACGTTGGGATAAATATTAGCTAGTTTTGAGTTTGTCTGTGGAGTATCTTAAATTAGATTAGACTGTGTCTTGCACAGGGAGATGAAGATTGCATTCTCCCATTTCTCTCTCTGTAAAGTCTATGCCCAAATCACTCTGCCAGGCCCTTCGAATACCATCTAAATTTGGTGGATCTATAGAGGATATAATAGAGTATGTACATGAAACAAGCCCCTTACTGTTTGGATTTAAATCAAGCAACGTTTCTGTGGGCGAGGAAGGGAGTAGCCCTGGAATGGAGTTAAATCCTTTCTTTATAAAGCTTCTGATTTGCAAAAATCTGAAAAAAATGGGATCTTGGCAAAGCAAAACGACATTCAAGATCTTCAAAAGAGCAAGTAGTGTTAAAAATAATAAACCTTTCAAAAGCCTGATCCCATTCTCTTCCCAAACACGGAATGCAGAATCCACATAGGATGGAGGAAATAACCCAAAATAAAGGCTGCCTGCAAGCCAAAATGCTTCATAAACTTTTTTATAGTGTGTGCAACTACTAGATTTTGAGATCTAATATATGTATTTACTATCAAAGGGAGTGAAGTGCAAACTAATGATCGAAGACCAAATTTACTACATGTTTGTTCTCCTTGCACCCACAGTGGAGTACTTAACGGGTCTAGGTCAGGCACCCAGTATATCATTTTCTGAACATTACTTGCCCAATAATAAAACAATAAATTAGGAAATGCCATCCCCCCCAAGATATTTTGATCTTTGTTAAAAGGCCTTTCTGATACAAGAGGTTTTATTCTCCCACAGAAAGGAAGAAATTAAGTTGTCTAATTTAGTAAAGAGACTCTTTCTTAGTCCTATAAAACTAGGAATATTTGAAAATAAGTACAGGAAGCATGGCAAAACTGACATTTTAACTAGATTAACACAGTAAAGACAAAGGTAATCTGGACCACTTCATAAAATCATATTTACAACAACCTAAGAGCGGGCAAAAGTTGGCTTTGAACAAATCAGTAAATGATCGTGGGACTTGTTTACCCAGGTACTTAAAACCCTCGTGTACCACTCTAAACGGGATAGAGGAATAATATATGCGGAGAGACAGACTGGGAATAAATCACTTTTATGCATGTTGAGATTATAGCTTGAGAATTCCAAGCTCCTCTAAAATTGAGATAATATGGGGTATTGATGAATCTGGATTAAAGACATATAGCAAAATGTAAGTAGTATATAGTGTTGTCACGATACCAAAATTATTGTTTCGAGACCAAGTCAAAAATTGCGATTTCGATACTTTTCCTGAAAAGGAAAAGTATTTCTTACAAGGCGTTTCACATGCACCTCTTTTGCGTAGGTCTGTGCTCTTTAAATGCTGTCATAACCTAATATAAATAAATCACTGACAAACATGCACATGCTCTGATTATAATCATATAGCCTATATATCATTTTAGCTGATGTTTTGTATGCTTTATTTTAGCAGCTTGCAAATTATTAATGTTATCTATGAAAGTTGGGGGGAAAGTTGTACACCTAATACAAAGATAAATAAAACGTTTCCAGTTAACTAGCAGAGCATTCATTTAGTTCGCTATTAAATAAGAGATCTAGCGCTAAAATCTGTTGTTTTTTAAATCAAGCGGAGCGCTCTTTTTCGCTGCTATCAGTTGCATGGATACAGTGGCCCTCATTTATCAAAAGTGCGTACACCAAATTTCCAGCGTACACCTGGCGTACACCCAAAACCACGGTGACTTTGAGATTTGTCAATATGGACGTTGGCGTACGGCACGCTCAAATCCTACGCCAGCTCAGGAGGTGGTGTACATGTACGCACGTTTTGAGTTAGTGCGGAAATGCGCAGAAAAACAATTCCTAACACCACAAAATGCACTGACAAACTAAAAGATATTATATATTATGACCCACTGTAAAACAAAAAAACAACAACATAGTAATTATAAACTTCAGTGTTTATTTTTGTGCAACATGGACTTCAATGTTTAATTTGTGTGACTTTACCAAAGCATTTGATTTGTAAGCATATGTATTCCTTCAGTTGCGAGCCTGTGCGCTTTACCCTGACGTTTCAGGGTTAGGCCCGGCAGGTGCGCACGGACTGGGTTCGGTAACGAAAGGCTTTCATGACCAAAAAATAATTCAGACTGACAAAATAATAAAAAATACATTCTTCTTCTTTTAAATAATAATAATAATACAAATAATAATAATGACATTCTTCTTCTAAATAACAATAAGCGTCATTAATAATACAAATCATACTAATAATAATAAGAATATTACAAATTGTCATGCAATTATTAATGTGAATGAATGGTACTCCACATCACATCATCATCATCACTATTGTACACCCCAATACATGTAACGTGATTCGAAATTGAATGCTAATTCAAAAGACGTGCTGTAAAATATTGCATTGTGATAGGTCAATTTCGGCTCCACGTCAAAGAAGTTTCTCTTCTTTGCCGTCTTCCGTGTGTCCATGGCGTAAAATGAGGGCTTGTGGGAAGCGGAGACTTGAATATATAGGGGCGTGTTATTCTAATGACGATCGTTTTCAGCCGCGGGATTTATCAAGGGCAGGTATTGCGTACACCTGGATTTCAAAGGTACGCACAGCTTCATAAATCAGGCGGTGAGAGGAGTGTAAGCATAATCTTACGCCAACATATACGCCCGTTTCTACGCAAGAATGATAAATGAGGGCCAGTGTCTTTTGCGGCTCGCGCACCATCTTCACTCGGACGCGCGCTTCAATCTATCGCCGTTGCGGAGACTCTCTATTCTGCACAGTTTGACCAGCGGGCAGCGGCCGCACACCAGGCCGCCGGACGGTGTTGCTAAGAACTTGCAATGTATAACTATCAGACCGGCCCTCGCGGCCTCGAAACACTACCGGCCCACCGGGAAAAGTCCCGACTCCTCGGATTGCCATTCCGCTACTGCGCAGCGGCCACAGTATCACTTGTGCTCGCACATGCAGCATCTCGCTGTAGTGTGTCTCATGACAGCTGCAACTTCTTTGCTGCGTGTGTGAGGAGAAAAAACACAGACGTCCATAGGGAGGCGCTGGAAGCGTGCGTTGCACACACCAACATGAAATACGTCACTTACAAATCTGGAACGCGGTCATTCATAAAAGTATCGATACTAATAAATTTAGGAATCGTGACGTTTTTGATTTCCGAGAATCGCGATACTTTTGAAGGTTTGGTGTACCGTGCAACACTATTTGTATATAATGAAATTTAATGCTCAATCCCATTCCGACTAATACCCCTAAAGCTACCAGACTGACAAAGTGCTACGCCCAAGGGTTTAATCGAGATTACAAATAACAAAGGGGAGAAACACCTGTCTGGTGACTCTCTGCAAAGGGGAAAACTCAGAATATGTATTTGTGCACACAGAAGCTACTGGGGAAGCATTTAACAACCTAATTTAAGAAATTAAGTCTTCTGAAAAGCCAAACTGTTTAAGAGTGTAAGAGGTATTTAATCTCTACTCTGTCAAAAGCCTTTTTTAGCATGGGGAGAGATGATAACTTCATGTTTATCTGGCTGAGTATTTGTGTATATAACATTATAAAGACGTTGCAAATGATTAACAGCGTTACGACTATGATTAAATCCCATGTGATCACTTTAACATATTAGCTAAAGTACTTGCAATGAGTATAGAGCCTGTTCTTCCAACTATAATTTAAAGTTGACATTCAAAAATGAAGGTGAAAATGACCTGCAAGACTGACAAAGAGAAGGATCATTTTTATCTTTTCGAAGAAGAGATGTTGAAGCTTGTGTGAGTGTTGGAGGAAGGCATCCACTATAGCAAAGGATTCATTATAAACTGCCACAAGACTGAACTTGTCTTTTAACAACCTTTTTTCTTCATATGAGGTGTATAGAAAGTTATATTCAGTTTGAAGATGCAGTCTCTCTTTATATAAGTCAGGGCTGCTAGCTATGGCATACTGCTGAGCTGCTAATGGCATCTTAAAGGGTTAGTTCACCCAAAAATAAAAAAATTCTGTCAGTAATTACTCGCCAGTAATTAGTAATAGACTTTCGTTCATCTTCGGAACACAAATTAAGATATTTTTGATTAAATCTGAGAGCTGGATCAGCTAGAGCATATTTCACGTAGTGTAACTACGCAAAGCTTCTGTGTTGTACGTCATGCATCACACACACATGACCAGCGCCAATAGTGAGTCTACGTGTGACGTACAACACAGAAGCTTTGCGCAATATCACTACGTGAAATCTCGAGGCCCACAGAGAAGGAAATGAATAGTTGAATAAAGTCGTTATTTTTGTTTGTTTTTTGCGCACAAAAAGTATTCTCGCCGCTTGATAAGCTTAACATTGAGCCACTGTAGTCACTCGGACTATTTTAACGATGTCTTTCATAACTTTTGGGCCAGTCAGTTTCGATCCCTTAAGAAGCCTATGGAGGAGTGATCCAGCTCTCAGATTAGATTAAAAATATCTTAATTTGTGTTCCGAAGATGAACGAAAGTATTACGGGGTTAGAACAACATGAGGGAGAGTAATTACTGACAGAGTTTTCATTTTTGGGTGAACTAACCCTTTAAGTTTCTTTGAGCTTCATGGTTGTTTGTTCTTTAGAATAAGAAAATAAATATTATTTTGCCATGTAAATATGCTTTCAATGCTTCCCATAATATAGACCTTGAAATATCAGGCAAATCGTTAATTTGTAGGTAAAACTCTATCACTTTATTATTTAGATAAGTAACAAATTCTCCATCTGCCAAAGGGTTCAGCCTCCAGGGCTTAAAGGATGAGTAGAGGGGAAAACTGAGTAAAAAAGAAGAGGGGGCATGATTGGACATGACAATACTTTGATACGTACTTGTTGTAATAGAGGATATGATACTCTTTATCTACTTAGAAATAATCTATACAACTGTAGGAATGGTGCACAAGGGGATAAAAAAGGAAGACACTGTAGAGGAGGGGAAAAGAAATCTCCATTGGTCCAGCATCCTATATTGCTCACAGAAATTTTGAATGTTTAAAGCGGCCTCAGAGGGCTGTACAACTTTGGTTGAGGATCTGTCAAAAGATGTGTTCAAAACACAGTTAAAATCCCCACCTATAATTAATGTGTAATCTTCGACTTCGAATTATAATCATCAAAATTCGGAGCATATCTGTAAATGTGCTCATTTCTATAAATGAGAGAAAATCCTATTTCTCTTCATGACAGCATTCATGCCTTTTATGTTCCAAGTCGTAAAATCTAAGTCCGATTTATTAAGCTTGGACATGTAATCAAGAAACTAAATGTACCAATCATAATAAACAATTTAAGTGCATTGAAAACACTGTTTATTTCAATCGTATCTTTGTTCAGTTGTTTTTATTTGTGCGATTGCTAATGTTTATTAATTACTGAGTGTTTACGTGTCTTTAATAATGCTTAATTTATATTAGTTAGGCTAGATATTTTTTCTATGGTATTTTTTAAACATATTCAGCTACAATGAAATGTTTTGCAATAAGACTTAAAATAAATGTGAATGATATCTTTCGATATATTATTTATTTTTTACCTTATTGGAATCGAAATTAGGAATCGATAAGAATTGAAATCGATAAGCAGAGTCACAATCGGAATTGTTAATATTCAAACCATACCCAGCTTTATTTGTGACATATTACATTTTGGTGACTTCAAAATTCATATACTTCCATTATATAATATTTTGATGACTTGTGCTACTAGTGTGGAAAATAATTGAGTTTGAGTAGATATAGATTGACTAGTGTGTATTTTCACCAAAGTACAGGATCATCTCCTATTACCTCAGGAGAGGTTTGTTTTACAGTAGTTATCAATGTTTGTGTGCCAGTAACTTTTGCAAATAAGACGTATTGGTTACGTCTTCTTCCAGTGAAGCTGTGTTATCTATTGCTTAGATCTTAAGCCGGGTTTGATTGCTCTATAATTTCTACTGTTTTAAAATGTAATGCAAATCCCTTCTAATGCCATTGATTTTTCTTCTCTCCATGACAGTGCCATGAATATATTTCCATGTGTAAATAGCATAACTTTGAATGAATCATACGCCTCATTTAGTCTCGTACATTTTAGCAAAGTTTGAGCCCAGTGGTAAAGGTTGCTCATGCCTCAAGTCAATAATTATGTCATGATTTGTAAAAAAAAATTCTAGTTTGCTAATAACTAACTAGTCAAACCTTAAAATGCAAGCACTTTAGTTGTATCAGAGAACACTGTGATGTCAGTGGTTGATTGAAACTGATTTAAAAAAAAATTATTATTATTAAAAAATATATATATATGTATACATGTTTTTTGTGCCAAAAACAGTCATTTATTTAAATAATAAAAATTTTCATTCATTAAATTTTCATGTTCTTGTTGTTGTTTTTTTATAGTGTGGAGATCCTTTCAAAGAAGACGACCTTGTGGTTCTGAATGGGGCTAAAGAGGAAGTGGAAAAGCTGCAGAAGGCCATGGAGGAGCGCCGAACAAAGGCTAAAACTGCTAAAGTAAACTGATGCCTTGCTGGTGTAGAATTACAGTGGTGTTTGGGATGTGCTTGATGGGGAATGAGATTTAAAAACCACCATTAATGCAAACCCATATCCGTAATCTAACTCACTGAGAGTAGAGGAAGTGAAAATGAACGAGCACAACACATTCACTTAATTTTTAAAAGCACTCTTTTGTGTTATTAACTATCCTTATTTTTTCTTACTTTGTCTTACAGAAATCAAAGAAGAGCAAAGATACTAAAGTCTCCAAGAAGCAGGATTTAGAAGGTACAGTAACACATACGGTTTGCATTATAAATCACATTAAAGTTCTGACTTTCTGATCAGTATTTCTTGTACAAATTAATGCTTATCAGTGACGTCATTCATCCTCAGCCAAATTAAAGAAAAAGTTCACTCAAATGAATATTTGGTTTCATTTAATCACCCGTTTCTCATTCCATGCCCGTATTAATTTCTTTCTTCTATTCACTGACAAATAATCAGTGTCAAGTCATGTGACTTGCAAGATTCGATTCCACTAATTGTCTGTGATGTTATATATTGAGCAATACAATTCTAAAGAAGCCTTTTTTTTTTAACACATACATGAATGAATTTTAGAGCTCACACGGAGAGGAAGATTTTCAACGGATAACTTTCAGTACTCTGTTCCTCACACAAAACTTATCATTTGGCTTCAGAAGGCTTTGTGTTCAATATACAAAATCCACTTTAGGTCTGCCTCAAATCTCAGTTTTGTTGTTTGAGCTGTTAAGTTTTCTAAGAATGTTTAGTTATGCATTAGACATAATTCCAGTGGGTGAATTTCTCTCTTTGTAAACAGCCCCTTTCCCTTGTGTGAAAGTTGTATTGGATTTACCGGCTTTACCGGCATTGCATCATCAAGACAGCTGTGTTGAAAGATTGAAAGTAATTCAGACAAGTTTAGTAAGAAAATCTATCGTCTCATGTTAACACATAATCTACTGTTTAAAAATTTGGGCTCAGTACGGTTTTTAATTAATTAATAAGAGATTAAAATTTGTATTCAACAAGGATGCATTAAATTGATCAAAAGTGACAGTAAATGCATTTATAATGTTACAAAAGATTTCTATTTCAAATGCTTTGATCAAAGAAGCCTGATGAATATTGTCATTGTTTCCACAAAATTATGAAGCAGCACAATTGTTCTCAACATTGATGATAAGAAATGTTTCTTGAGCCGCAAATCAGCATATTAGAATGATTTCTGAAGGATCATGTAACACTGAAGACTCAGATATTCAGCTTTGATCACAGGAATAAATTGTATTTTACAATACATCCCCATAGAAAACGGTTATTTTAAGTTGTGATAATTCACAATGTTATTTATTTATCAATGAAAAGTAGCCTTTTGTGAGCAGAAGAGACTTACTGACCCCATACTTTGAATGGTAGTGTATAATGGCAAAGTAAACGTTTATGACCAGATGAGTGTGAGGGGCCGTACAAGCCAAAATCCATTCTTCTACTGTCACACACATACATTCTCCTTTCACATATATACATTTCTACTCTCACACACACATTCTCCTTTCACATACATACATTTCTACTCTCACACACACATTCTCCTTTCACATACATACATTTCTACTCTCACACACATACATTCTCCTTTCACATACATACATTTCTACTCTCACACACACACATTCTCCTTTCACATACATACATTTCTACTCTCACACACATACATTCTCCTTTCACATACATACATTTCTACTCTCACACACACACATTCTCCTTTCACATACATACATTTCTACTCTCACACACATACATTCTCCTTTCACATACATTTCTGCTCTCACACACATACATTCTCCTCTCACATACATACATTTCTACTGTCACACACACAGACACAGACACACACACACACACACACACACACACACACACACACACACCTACATTCACCTTTCACATACATACATTTCTATTCTCACACACACACATTCTCCTTTCACATACATACATTTCTACTCTCACACACATACATTCTCCTTTCACATACATACATTTCTACTCTCACACACATACATTCTCCTTTCACATACATACATTTCTACTCTCACACACACACATTCTCCTTTCACATACATACATTTCTACTCTCACACACACACATTCTCCTTTCACATACATACATTTCTACTCTCACACACATACATTCTCCTTTCACATACATTTCTGCTCTCACACACATACATTCTCCTCTCACATACATAGATTTCTACTGTCACACACACAGACACAGACACACACACACACACACACACACACCTACATTCACCTTTCACATACATACATTTCTATTCTCACACACATACATTCTCCTTTCACACACATTTCTGCTCTCACACACATACATTCTCCTCTCACATACATACATTTCTACTGTCACACACACAGACACAGACACACACACACACCTACATTCACCTTTCACATACATACATTTCTATTCTCACACACACTTACATACTCCTTTCACATACATACATTTCTGCTCTCACACACACATTCTCCTTTCACATATATTTATTTTTTGTTGTTGTTTTTGGTATCCATTACTTCCTCTTTAAGCAGCTTTAAACAATCCTGTTTTCTTTTCAAGTACAGTTTTTACTTTTTGGAGTAAGTAGCAATGAACATGAAATCAGACAATTTTTTAATAATGTGCTGGAATGTATTGAGCAAATGCAAAGAGAAACAGATTATTTTGTGCATGATAGGCTGCATTGTGAACTTTATCACATTCAAACCCTATGTGGATTTCTGTCAGTCTCACGATTTGTTGAGGATTCAAGAAATAGAGCAGCAACAGTAAATACATTGGAGCCCATATATGGATGTCTAAATGTAGTGCGGACTGCTTATGAATCCAGACAAAGAATCAGTTATGTCCTGTTGAACCAGTGTTAATTTTGACAGCAGATTTTGATTTAGTTTTAGTCATAGTCTTTTGACTAAAATGCCATTTAGTTTTAGTCATATTTTAGTCATCTGAATTGTTTTAGTTTTAGTCTAGTTTTAGTCGACTAAATCTTCAGTAGATTTAGTCGACTAAAATTTAATGGGTTTAGTTAAATTGTAATGCATTAATTTAGAATTTCTCTAAAATTTCCAAACCTAATCTATTAACCTGTTAATATTAATAATTTTTAAAGTTTGAACATACAATACAGACACAGATTTAGCACTGTGACATAAAATAATATCTTAAAATTAAATAAAAACACTTCTCCTAAAGTAGAACAGTCTCTTTTTTTTCTTCAATGAATGATTATGCAGTCTTACTTACATACATTATTCTTTATTCTTCCAAGCAGACATATTTATTTGTATGAATTAAATATAGTTAATCCTTATTAAAGCTATTAAATAGCAGTGAATGCTTTTCTCTTTTTAATTTGTTGTTTGATTAATATTAAGTGCACAGACGGCATTCGGTTTATTACGCACTGTCACTTTAAGACCGAGTGTGCAGATCCATGGACTGATGTGATGCACATCCGATATTCTCACAACTGTACGTTCTGTAAAGACATATCTGACTGTGTTTACGTGAATACTCTCCAAAACGGACATTTAGACATAATGTTGTGTATTTTTCCATTCAGACGCGAAAGAGAGCTCAGTTCAGTCCTTGTGCAGGGCTGCACGCGTCGGGTTGGGTTTGTGTGTTTGTTTGTGTGTGTGCGCGCGCACAGAAAAAATAAAGAATAAAGCTCTCTTTCGCGTCGTCACTCTTATTCAGATCTATCCATATGTCTGGTCTTCTCTTTCTCCCAGACGTTTACATTTTTGAACGATTTATGAGAAGCGCATGCCAACTCCTGTCCTGCCGGGTAGATCAGCACGTTACAATTCAAATGTGCGCATCTTCCACAAACGCAACTCAGTTCTGAATGGATCTCTTCCCCAATCGTCCCTCTCTAACATTTTCGTCTAGTTTTTATTAGTTGACGAAAATGTCAATACATTTTCGTCATAGTTGTCGTCATTTAAAACTGGTTTTTATTTAGTTATCGTCTCGTTTTCGTCTGTGAAAAAATGTCGTTGACGAATAATTTTCGTCATTATTTTCGTCAACGAAATTAACACTGTGTTGAACACACAGAAAAGGCTGTTTTTCTGGTGGCACATATCATTTTTATTTCTGTCACACACTGTACAATCTGCAATTTCAACAAAGACAATAATAAATTAGTTTTTTGTTTCACAGTGTTGAAATAGCTGGCAGTGTGACTTCTTCATGTCAAAAAGTGAAACGCTCTTTCAATTAACTCACATTACACATTTATCTGATACTGTATGGTCACAGAAAATTAAACTGTGTATTCCACCAAATAAAACAATAGGCCTACTGACATTAGCATTTCAGTACTCAGACTATATAAAGCTCAATTAACATACACCAACTCTACAAGCACTTTACATAGCTTTTTAACTTTATAACTGTAAACTCTCTTTACAAAAATATTGAGTGCACTGATAACTAATCTCTTTTAAACATTGTCAAATCGCGATCTCCCGCACGACATCCAACAGCGTGAAAAAAAGTTATCTCGCTGCTGTTCCTGAATTTACCGTAATCATTGTAATAGGCGCACACCCATTTTTTTGACGGCTGGACCAACCAACACAAGTTTCAAAAACGAAAATAGGGAATCGATTTTAATGGGCTTTATTTTTATTTTTTTTACCAAAAATGTGTTTTAGGTGGACAGATCAATACAGTACACATAACATGTAGGATGTTGGAAAATAACAATGTCTTTTCATTGTTAACCAAATGCTTTTTAATATTCGCTATTACTTCAATGCAAGTGAACAAGCGCGCCGTTATTTGTTGCTTAGTGACGTGTGTGTTCAAGTAAGCCAGACCAACCGCAGTCCGGTGACCCCGGTCGCGCCAGACCTGCCTTCTGTTTCCACTATATTCCCTCTCACACATATACATTATTCTCTTACATACATATATACACTTCTTACATACATTTATTATTTATAGTATTAAATGTATACTTTGAATACATTTGCATAAGAGTAAAATGTATATGTGTGAAAGGAGAATGTGTGTGTGTGAGTAGAAATGTATATTATGTGAAAGGAGAATGTATGTGTGTGAGAGTGGAAATGTATATATGTGAGAGGAGAATGTAGGCCTATGTGTGTGAGAGTAGAAATGTTATATATGTGAAAGGAGAATGTATGTGTGTGAGAGTAGAAATGTATATACGTGAAAGGAGAATGTGTGTGTGTGAGAGTAGAAATGTATATATGTGAGAGGAGAATGTATGTGTGTGTGAGTAGAAATGTATATATGTGAAAGGAGAATGTATGTGTGTGTGAGAGTAGAAGAATGAATTTTGGCTTGTTTGGCTCTTCATAGATGAGCGTTCTCACTGTAAGGACATGATCAGGACCGAAGTAAAGCTTGATGAATTTCTGCTTTTGTCACACTGAATTTTGAAGAGGGATTTTAATACAGCTTGAGTGCTATGGGTAATATCTGTGACATGCTGTTGATTTCCACAGAAAATAATTTACATTTGTGCAAACAAGCACAAATGCACGCACGTACAATGGAAGTCAAGGCTTGTCAATAATTAACAAGGCGCCGAGATAAGCTCATGGTTTCCAAAGTATAGCCACAAAACCTAAGCATTTTGAATGAATGAATGAGGCATTTATATAGCGCTTTCATATGTACTATTGTACACCCAAAGCGCTTTACAATCATATCAGGGGTTCTCTCCTCAACCATCACCAGTGTGCAGCATCCACAGTACAACGGCGCCAGTGCACTCACCACACACCAGCTATAGTTGGAGAGGAGAGAGAGTGATAGAGCCAATTCAGTGGATTCAAAAAGTCATTTTATGTATTAAAATAGGATTAGTGTGAGAAAATTGCTTGTTAATCTTGTCTGTGAACACGGTAGCTTTTGCACAATACCCACAAGCCAAGAAGGATACCAGAAGGGTCTTTATAAATACAAATTCAACACTGCTTTAACAACATAAGAACTTCACTTTTCTAAAAAAATTTAAAAAAGCCCCATAGACCTCTAATTTAAGGGCATTTCTACTTAACTGAGGGACAAGTCAGAATGAAGTCTGTGGAGATTCTGTGGAAAGTACTTTTATCGAACCCATAGCATTCCTGTATAAGTAAATATGTGAGGCTTGAATAAAGGTTAAACTTCGCATAGAAATAACTGAGTTATCAATGTAGGACAAATGTCAATATTAACAGAATTTTATTTTATCAACCCTTTTAGTTTTGCTTCAGCATAAAGTCGGGCTAAAGTAAAGTGTACATGTGATTGATTATCCATGAGCTAATCTCACATGTAAATGTTGCTTTAGCCTGATTCATACTGAAGCAAAACTAAAAACTGTGGATTAAAAATTAATGTTCATGTAAAGTTCATACTTTAATAACTTTCAAAACTGATAAAACCCTAATACAGATTCAATCAAAATGGGAAAGAAGCTGTAATTATCCATAACCTTTTATAGATGCACACAGAGAGGGGGAAAACTTCCTTTTCTTCTAAAAATAGCAAGATTTTTTGAAAATATATTTTTGTATATTTATATATGTTTGTATCCCCCCCACACACACACACCCTGGAAATGGATAAATGAGTTAGCCATACAGGCTGCATTTATTAATAAGTCATTAGTTCTTCACAGTTCAATAATTCTTAACAGAGCATTTGATCAAAGTTCAGTGCCATGTTTCATACTATTTGAGTGCACATTAACTGATAACGGTTACATGGTATGATACAGTTTGACAAAAAGCTCTTATTTTATTTAAGCTGAGATCCTTCTGTTGTGTCTTGGATGAAATATATATATATATATATATATATATATATATATACTGTGTAATAATATTTATATATATATATATATATATACTGTGTAATAATATTTATATGTATATATATATATATGTGTATATACTGTGTAATAATATTTATATATATATATATATATATACTGTGTAATATTTATTTATATTTGTATGTTTTCTGTGTTGGGATGCATAACTGTATGAGGGTAGAAGATGCATAATATGTCTGTGAGCTTTTCTAACATCAGGATGGATGTTAGATTAAAACATGAACAACATGTATGCATTTTATTTTAAATAGACATGCAGTGTTGTTAACTAAGTTTTAAACATTTAATATGAGCTTTAACAAAATGCTGTATAGAATCATTTGTGAATGAGACTTCACGAAGCATCAACTCAACCTTATTATCATGCATATTCTCAAAAAACAATGTTTTATGCTGTTTAAACTTCCCCTATAATGGTTAAACTACTTACTTTTAGTACTTTACTAAACTAGTGCGAAACTACTCAATATAAATTTTTTTCTTTTCTCTTATAGTGGCAGAAAGCTGTGATTTACCCAAAGACGCATCAGAGACTAAATCTGCATCACTGAATGGAGACGACGGCAGTGAATCAGGTATCCCAGCATGCCAGGGTACAGAGGGGCTGTGGCTAGATTTACATTTGAGATTGAACTATATGTACATGGTTTAGAAAGCACAATTATGTAAGTGTTGGTTTCTGAAATGAGGAATCTGTATCTGTACCGGAGGGGCAGAATGAACACATGTAGATGTGATGTATTTCATCATCGTTTTGGAGGAAGGAAAGGAAAACTCGTGGAAATCTGTTGCCGTTTAAATTCGAAATAAATGTATTGCAGCTGCATTCATTACTTAATAACACAACGTAGTCAGGTCATGTAAAACATTTATCAATGCATACTGGTTCACATTATTTATAAATAGTAGGCAGTATGTACAGTGTTATATAGTACTGTAGGCAATATAATATTTTATTTTTGTTATATCCATCATGACAGCAGAGGAAGAGAACTAATGTTGTCTTGTACGACTCCAGCACAGGCTTTTTAATAAATCTGTTCGCATTTTCATTTAACTTAATTTATCTTTAGCTGGAGTAAACACCATTAAAAAGTTTGGGCCAGTAAGATTTTTAAATGTTTTTTTTTTTGGAAGAAGTCAATTATGCTCACCAAGGCTACATTTATTTGATCAAAAATACAGTAAAAACAGTAATATTGTGAAATAATATTACAATTTAAAATATATCTGTTTCTATGTGAATATATAGTAAAATGTAATTTATTCCTGTGATCAAAGCTGAATTTTCATCATCATTACTCCAGTCTTCAGTGTCACATGATCCTTCAGAAATCACTCTAATATGATGATCTGATGCTCAAGAAACATTTATTATTATCAGACGACTTTGTGGAAACTGTGATTCAATTTTTTAGGAATCTTTGATGACTAGATTGTTCAAAAGAACAGCATTTATTTGATATAGAAACTTTTATAACATTCTAAATGTCTTTTTTTTGGTCACTTTTGATCAAGTGAATGCATCTTCCCTGAATAAAAGTAATTTCTTTCTAAAATAAATCTTGACCCCAAATTTTTGTACGGCACTGCGTTTGAATATTTGCATCTATTTATAATTATATGCATCTATTAGTACACATTTGGTGTATTATATACATGCATATGGAAGTATAGGTCCTCTATGACCCATAATGCTTACAGTGCTGGTCAGAATTATTTCCCCCCTTGGTAAATATGATCAAAGACGGCTGTAAAAAATAAATCTGCATTGTTAATCCTTTTGATATTTTATTTAAAAAAAATAGGAAAAATCTAACCTTTCATTGAAGGCATTATAGGAGAACATATTATATTAAAATAAAAAATAAGTAAAAAACATTACTTTTTGCAACCTCCTCTTTCCAAGATAACAGCTCTGAGTGTTCTCCTATAATGCCTTCAATGAAAGGTTAGATCTTTCCTATTTTTAAAAATAAAATATCAAAAGGATTACCAATGCAGATTTATTTTTTACACCCATCTTTAATCATATTTACCAAGGGGGCAAATAATTCTGACCAGCACTGCATATCTGTATTAAAAATATAATCAATAACAACACAAAACATCTTACTTGCCATCCTTTTCTCAAACTGTGGTGTCCTCATGTGAATCACTAGCAAATGATTTACCCCCACTATGCAAATGAAGTGGCGAATTCATCTAGGGACTCTGGATTGTCTTGTCCTCAAAAAAAAGAGAGAGAGATAGAGAGAGAGTTGTCAGCATTGTTATAGGATGCAGCCTGGACAGTATAGAGAACATACAAAAGACTACAATCCAGAAAGAATTTAAGAAAAGATTATAATCATGCCACTTTTGTCAGACAGTTTTTATGACAACATTAAACACAGAGGTCAGTCATGCAGAATTATAGATAAGCGTCCATGATAGTTAGTGGTTTGCATGTAACATCACACCCTGACGCTTATGAATGCTTAATAATGGATGTGTTTTTCCCGCGCTCAGCTCCGGGACCGTCCACATCCGGCGAGAGCTCGAAGACGTTAAAGGCGCCCGTGGGTCTCGTCGTCGGCAGCAAAAGATCAATCCAAGCCATGGGGGATAAATCTGAGACCTACAAGTCCCTCTTCACCTCCCACAGCTCTGCCAAACGTACCAAAGACCAGATCTCCAACTGGGTCACACACACACCGTACCACTTTTGAGTGCGCTCTTCCTAGTGAAGCTCGCTCTCTAGTGGTCAGGCTTTGGCGGAGCGACACTCTGCTGGAGTAATGCATTGTTTTAGCTTATTTCTTTTTCTTTCACCATCAGTAACATTGCATTTTGCATTTACCTTGATTCGATCATCTTAATTTTGTTGCATGATTAAGTGTTTGTTTAGTATATCCATGTTGGCTCGAGTTATTTGACCGGATTGTGCTTTGCAGCAATATCTTATTTTAAACCACTTAATTTCAAGTAAAACAAGTTTATAGGCAGATATCTTTGTGTGTTTTCCATCCTCAGGAACATGAACGTGTGTTCCTGAAAGAGCTGTTGTTATTACCGAGTGTTTGTTACGGTATAACTGAAATAACCCACTAGTTACAGTAGTTATGCATTGTACGTTTAAAGATGCGTTATATGTGGATACAATAAAGGTCCAATCTGGAAAAAAATCATGCATCATTTCTTATTATTTGTTAGTTATGGCACTCAAATTCTGCTTTTGACCACAGGGTGGCAGTAGATGTCTACGAATAAGCGCTTTCCCAGTCAATCCCTATTAGATCTGTTGTAGCTGACAGTCTGCAGTTCCTTTATGTCCGTGTGTGTGTGTGTGTGTGTGTGGCCTGGTAAAACTACATTATTGGGACAAAATGTCCCTATAAAGATGGCAATATCCAAAATCCTTCTCCTTTTTTTTGGTCCCCTTGAGGAAAACGGCTTATAAATCACACTCTGTCATGTTTTTTGGAAATGTAAAACTGCAAAATGTTTTCTGTGATGGGAGGTTTTAATGGTAGGGTTAGTTTCGTGGGATAGAAATATATAGTTTGTACAGTATAAAATCATTGGCTATGGAAAGTCCCCATAAAATATGAGAACACAACGTGTGTGTGTGTGTGTGTCTCAGCAATTACAGCAATGTGCGTGAGAAAGCCTGAGAAATACCTAGAATGTCAGTCAAACTTCACAATGCCTTGTATTACTGTCAGAATTGTGTGCAACATGTTCTGTGGAAGCTGTCATTAAGCATATATAAATATAAAGCTTATTTAAAGAAAGCCTTGCAGGGCTAATTCAATAATATAATATAGGCTGAGGAAGGTTCCTATCATAGAAAACCTGGAAATATCAGCTAATTTTGAAATATAGCTAACTTCGATTGTCACACTGAAAAATGATATGATCAATAAATTATGACAACGTGTTTTTACATTGTTTAACTCATCAAAATAAGTTACGCATGTGTCAGCTTTCATTTTTTAAAGTCCGTTTAAGTTGAAATGACTTATAAGGTCAGTGTAGCCTACTTAAAAATTTAGGCAGCAACTTTTAAAAAAAAAGAAGGTTTTTTTTACTGTCACTAAATCACGGATTTGAATGGGCAAGTCTGTTACAATTTAATCTAGTTATAATTAGCTCTAAAATGCGTATCTTAATTAGCCTAGAACAATCATTCTCATAAATCCATAACCAGTCTAACAAACGATTAGACCAAATGTGTGGGAATTCTTTTGATGGCCTTGTCTTGCTTTTTAATTAAAGCGGCGTTGTGCAAGTGTGTTGCTCCTCCACAGAGTTGGCGTGATGACTAATCATCCTCATCGATCGGAATGTTCAGGTGTTCCGAGAGTCCGCGCATGCGCTCTGCCTGTCCTGCGCATCCAGGTGTACGCCGGGCGCGCGCGTGATGCGAGCATTCACTGCTTCACTGCGGGACTGAACAGCGAGGAAAGCAGATGTCGATGCTGGAGAGGCTGGACTGGCGGGTAAGCTTTCAATTAAATTCGTTATCGCTATTGCATATTTATGCAAGGAGGGAAAAAAATTGGCTATTTTTAATAATCGACCTTTCGACAGATTTAGCATTGGTTTTGTTCATTTGTGACAGAGTAGCCTATATGGTTTAAATTCGTGCAAACTGGTGCCAGAACCTTCTGCTTGCGTTTGCAGAACGTATAGCCTGAAGATATCACCAACAACAATTATTCATAATAATAATAATAACAAAATGGCTGTGCTTTTATAGGGTGTAAACCTTAACCAGTTAATACCTGCATTCTCTCCGTGAAGACAATAGGAATCAATGCATTTCTCTAATTATCTAAATATTTATAGGCTAATTCGGTCTTGTTATTTGATCAGGCGCCTTATGCAAATTAATGGGAAAAAACACAAGCACTTAATCATAATTTCACATTTACAGTAGGAGACCGGGTAATTAAACACTCACTTTAGCCAATTAGAAATGAGCTACTATGTGAAAGCCTCTGTCAAAATGAAGGATTTACAAATTAAATCTATCTGATTTGACATTTTAAAAATAAAACAACAACATTTTGCTTATTGGTTATAATTTGATTTGTGATCATGTTAACGAATGTTTAATAACAAAGAATACACCATCTGACTTCATTAATTTGATAGATAACATCTCATCTTTCATCTAAATGATTTTAAAAGGCTAAACATCATGTCTGAGCTGCAATGTTTTTGTGTCGCACACATTTGTTTGGTCTAACATGCACACAAGTGACTAACATACACACAAACACATATAGCTTAAGTATGTAACAAGTTTTAAAGATAGGCCTATAAGAAAAAATACATTTCCGTAGATGTTTCCCTTAATTAAAATGCTTAAATTGAAATGCGCTTGAGGTTAATAATGGGTTTTATAAGATCATTCTGAAGTATATTTAATAAAATAACTAATGTTCAAAATTTAAAATGCTTTTTCTTTTTCTCTCTCTCTTGTTACACGGTTACAACTCAACTTTCAGTAACTTTCAGTAGTAATATAAGTTTGCGCTACAGACGTTTAACCATCATCGGTTTCGAGTTATTTTATATATTAACACTATATGTGTTAATAAACAAATGCTTAAACACAGAATGTATATTATATTTCTTTTGTATTGTATTTGAAAGCGCTTTTCCTTGTTCCGTGCAGCGCAGGGTCCGTATCAGGAATTGTTCATTTGAAAAGTGCTTCATGTTTTCTATTTCTTTTTTAATTTTAATTTTAAACAAAACTAATTAATTCCTTCGATTAGTACGATTTTTTTTTTTTTTTACAAAGCAATTTAATTTTTTTGAGACAAATTAATTTGTAAATGTCACATAGGCCTATATGTTAGTTTCGGGACGGAGAGTTTTGAGCTGAAATAAAACACTGACTGACAGTTAGGCCTATACTTACAATTATTACAATATCATATTGATGATTTAGCCTATCATTTAATTATTAAATAATTCGTAGTGATTCCGTTTTGCACCAGCGGCACACATGTAGAGTTTTACGCTCCAGGCTCTTTTATCTCTTGACTCTGCAGGCATCTAAAATAATAATAATAATAATGATGATTGTCTTATGACAACTGGCATTCCTGCATCTCAGTATTGCCTTGAGTGGAAGTTTTACTTGCGATTCCAGCAGGTTATATAAGAAGATGTCTCTCCCTCGGGGTTACAGTCGTTTCTGATGTGTGAAAGTATCTGACAGTAACACACACTCGTCTCGCGCTGTGAAGCTTCTCTCACACACACCAAACCCGCGCGCGCTTCATTCATTACAGAGATAAAACAGACACAATTACAATTAATTATCTTTCTTTCTTTCTTTCTTTCTTTCTTTCTTTCTTTCTTTCTTTCTTTCTTTCTTTCTTTCTTTCTTTCTTTCTTTCTTTCTTTCTTTCTTTCTTTCTTAAATGTTATTTATTTTTTTATTAATAATAATTATTATTATTACTATTATATTTAATTTATTTTCCTAAAAACCATTTTAGTATTTTATGTAGTAGCCTATTTTATTTTCTAATGCTGAATAACATATTATATTCAGAAAATAAATATTCTTTATTTTCTTTTTTCTTTTTAATGCATTTTCTTTACAAAGTACATGAATTCATGTTAAAAGATTACATGAATATTTATATCTATCTATCTATCTATCTATCTATCTATCTATCTATCTATCTATCTGTCTATCTGTCTATCTGTCTGTCTGTCTGTCTGTCTGTCTGTCTGTCTGTCTGTATATCTATCTGTCTGTCTGTCTGTCTATCTGTCTGTCTGTCGATAGGCCTATATCTTTTTAATTCGGGCAAACAATATTTATTATTATTATCAATGCTAGTAATTATTATAATGGAGTAAATAGCATTTAGTTTCAATAATAATAATTAGTGCGTAATTTAACATGCTTTGTTTGTATAATTAGTTTCAGTGAATAGCAAAACATCGCAACTTCTCGTCCAGGACAGATTTGCCCTCTGCACAGACGGATAGTTCTGTGATTGGCCCGTCGCTCTGACAGTGACCAATCAGCAGCGGGGTCTTCGCTCTGACGTAGCCATTGCAGTAGGTCACCGCCCACCGCTGGTTCATCCAAATATAGTAGTGAGAATCTAAAGAGAGTCAGTGAGTCGAGCCTGAGTCTGAGTCCGTCAGAGGGAGTCGAGTGCTTCTGTTCAGCGTGTGTGTTTGGACCGGAACCCTTCCAATTCGTTGCGCACAATTAGTTGTTGTCTCGAGCTGCATGAGTTTCTCTTCCTTCATCCTCCTTCTTCAACACTGAGTTGATGCTTCACTTCTGCGCAGCGCGCGCCGGACTCTCTGGATTATATTCTAGAACTCGAGCGATCATCTCCACATCTCCACACATCTGAGACTCGCGAACACAACATGCTGTGGAAATTAGCAGATAACGTGAAGTATGAGGATGACTGCGAGGTAAGAGGAAGAAGCGTTAGAATCTGGGTAAAGAGCAGCTTTTATTGGAGAATTGAGCATATGCGTTGTCTGTTTATAATTTAAAAAAAATGGATATGACATTTTCTATTTCCAAATAACATGCAAAGTGAGCTCTGTAAAAAGTGAACTATGCACTGGTGATGGCTGGTTAGTTATGCACGAAGTTGCATTATTGTGGTAGGAAAATATATGCTATTGTTTTTTAAAGCTTTTTACAAAAACATAAAATGTAATTAGATATTTTAAATCTGACCTCGCGCGAATTTACAACCATGCAAAGACCAAAATGCGTTCGTTTAATAGACGTGAAAAGGATTTGACTGCATGTGTTAATTTAGTCAATTCTAAATGCATTGTAAATTCAGAAACAATTGCATAATAATATTTATTTTTTGCAATTTAGTTCCGCATTTAATAATAGGCTAATAATAATAAGGCTGTTGGCCTAAAAAATATGCGCAATGCCAGCAATAATAAATTGAATTTGAAACGCAATCATTGCACGTGTTTTTTTATTTTCATCCAGATTTGACTGCATCTTTATAATGTGATTCCATACATTTTCCTTTTTTTATTCACAATATTATCCACTAGCGCAGGCATATGATTGTTTCGAATATCGGGTTTCAAAATGAATATGAGTGCAAACTCTCAAGTGTAATGCATGTGGTCTCCATTAAGCTGTCTAGAAATGGCCCGTCGCTCATTGTCATTCATGTGTCTCTGGTGACAGTAACTATCGAGCAACTTTGCCAGACAATAGGAGGCATGAAAGCACTCCAGAGCTGAAAGACCAGCACGGCTGTTGATGTTTAATTCATGTGAATTAGAAAGAGAACAAATGACACTGTAAAAATGTTTGGTTAGGTAACCTACAGAAAGGTTGCATATGATAACATCTAAATGAGCTGGCTGGAGTCAAAAACTCGTTATGAATACATAATGGCTTAAATGAGCAAAGTTGCATTTTAAGGGTTTAACAACTGTACGTTTCAAGAAAACATTTGTTCGGATGTTTTTGAGCTTGCATATAATTTTGTATCAAGAACATGCAAAGACTAAAGTTCAGTTTTTAATTTGCATACAAAATATTGATGCCTGTATCCATAATTTCCCAGACCAATAATTTTAAGGAAACCAAATAAAGCATATTTAAAAAAAAAAGTTTTTATTTTTTATTACCTCAGATATGAATTGCTTGTGAAATACATGCATTTGTCAGATTGCTTTTCTCCAAAGACATGCATGTCATCAGTATGTATAAATGAAATATGCTCATTGGTTTAATGTGGTGCACTCTCTATTTTAGCAGGAAAGACACGATGTTAGCAGCAATGGGAACTCCCGGTTACCTCACATCCCAGCGGTGAGCCAGCACCTCTACAGCCCGCCACCGTCCCTCTCACACACAGCCAGCTCAGACTTCCAGCCCCCATACTTCCCCCCCCCTTACCAGCCTCTGCCGTACTCGCAGTCCGGCGACCCGTACTCTCACCTCGACCCGTTCAATATCAACTCACTGCACCAGACCGCAGCCTCTAACCAGCAGCAGTCATGGCCGGGCCGGCAGGGTCAAGAGCCCATCGGGAGCCACGGGCGCGTCGGACTCGGGAGCCCCATTCTGGGCCTCGACGGGGGCTCGTCCGGGATGAGGCGGGACGGCTTCAGGAGGCCGGATCTGCTGCCTCCACACATACATGGAATCGACTCCATAGGTGATAACATTGGATTGCACGATATAGGTCACGGAATGGATGATGTTCAGGTGAGTTAGTGTGATAAATGTTTATTTTAATACTCTTTTTTTGTTTGTTTGTTTTCTGATTAAATAGATAGTGATGCATTTCCTGGTCATTTCTTGCAGCATGAAGGTGATCACAGTAGTGTAATTCCTGATCACACAGTCATCAAAAAAGGTTGGTTGCATTTTTATTTTCTAACATGCATAGTTGTAGATTTAAGATTCAAATTGATATGAATGTTTAAGGAGAAGTGTATAATATTTTTAATCACTTTTAGCATGCAGTGTTCCTTTGGTGTGACAAATGAAAGTTCAAATATTCCATGTAGTCTCTCAATAAATATGAGCTTTGTTAAAGCTGCGTACACTATAATTATAAAGAATTTGCATGCTATTTATAATAATCGATCACACTTTAGATTAGGCTCCAATTCTCACTATTGGCTGACTTTTGCCTCAATAAACTCATAATTACTGCTTATTAATAGTTAGTAAGGTAGTTGTTAAGTTCAGGTATTTAGTCGGATTAAAAGATGTAGAATATGGTCATGCAGAATAAGGGATTAATATGTGCTTTATAAGTACTAATAAACAGACAATATTCTAGTAATATGCATGCTAATAAGCAACTAGTTAATAGTGAGAGTTAGACCCTAAAAATAATATTATGTGCAGTTTAATATTTCACACTGCAGGTCTTTCCAAAATTATTTTTAAATGTCAAAAAACCCTAAGTAATTTTGTGAAATTTGATTTGAGTAATGATTCTTTCAAGCTAAATCATTTTGCATTTGCAATATTAGCTTTAACTATTTGCCTTGACCCAGAAGTGAGGTGATTAAACCGTGTTAAAGACTACAATCTCACACCTTTGCTGTCAGTGGGAAAAACAGAGTGGGACTCCAGATTTAGGGAGGCGTAGTTGAGGTGGTACTGGTTCATACATATATCACTAATCCTTTTGGCCATGTGTTCCATTTAACTAATCTGGCAATGATCCGCGGGGCATTCTGCCACTCTTTCATGAATGGAAAGCCAAAGAAAGGATTTCTCTCAAAATGGCAGACTAGCCAAAGTTGTAGATGTTGGGCAATCCTTAAAATGGTGTTTGCTCAGAGAGAGGAGGCCTAGGCCTGCTTTTTAGAACACTGTCAGAACGCAATTCTGCACCACACACACACACACACACACACGCACGCTCACAGAAGAAGACAAGAATCAACTGTTGTCGGGGTGTGGCTGCTTTTAAACATGCATGGGTATTTTGTTCAGTCATATGCTGTGACATGAAATCTTCTTAAATAAGCGAAACCGAAAAACAGTTTTGAACGTCTGTTTGTTTTGTGGTATCACTAGCTGTTGAGATGAATGGTTTGAATCGATGATTTATTTGCTTCAGGATGTCACAGCAAGCGGCGACCCAATTTAGGACTAAAATATAATGAAACAAAAACGCCTACGTTTGCAACAGAGTAATACCAAATTAATGTTTGTTTAGTGTCTTTTTCGTTTTGTTCATGGCTTTTGAGGTTCTCTAAGTTGACTTCTTAACTTCTCCAAATGCATGTGCACCACAATACCATAGAGTTGAATTGGTCCTGCATGACCTTTGACATGAAAAAGGCATTTTCTCCTTCCTTTTTAAAAGTTACTTTTTGTTTTTTTTGCTACAATAGCTATGCAAGATCAGCTTTTTATAATAAGCATATACAGAACAGGTTTGTTACCTACGCGTTGAGAAACCCTGATTAATTCCACAAGCATGTGAAGTTTTGCTCTTCGTACTTTTGAGATTCCTGCAAAGCTGTCAAATGGAAAAAAATGAGAAGAATGTGTAAACACCCATAGGTGCACTAAAGATTGAATTGAATGCAAAATTGATCTTCAGCAAAAACGCTACATTTTGAGATGATTTCTTGAGCGTTTCTTGCAGTATGAGGCGTTTTGGAGTGTGTAGCGTCTGCTGTGTGTTGTGGTCGGGAGGTGATTGACAGATTCTGCCATGCATTTTTGTCAGTTAGTAATTTAGATTTTCTTTCGAGTCACCAGAGTGCCTTGCTGGATTAATGTCTATGTCAATATTTTAGTCGTCATGATTATAGCTCTGTATACGCTGTCCTGTTCTGGTTCATATCAAAATTTATGTCACATCATAATCATCTTCATCTATACCATCTCAGCCTCCACTTTTGCAAATACAGATCATATTTATTATTATTCTCACTCCAAAGAATCTCTGAATACTGATCAAATATCTTATGCTTATGAAGCTTAACCGTGTGTTTTCTCCTTATAGTCTATTCAAGTTGTTATTTGTAAAAAATTAGACAAAGTCTGCAGTCAAAATCGTATATTTGTTAATATGAACTCAGCTTTATATAAGGTTTCATTTGTTAACATTAGTTGACAGTGAAAAACACTTCTAAAGCATTTATAGTTATTTCAATGTTTGCTAATACATTATTAAAATCAAAAGTTGGATCTGTTAATGTTATTTAATGAAGCTAACATTAACTAAGATGAATGAATACTGGAATTGCTCATTGTTAATGCGTTATCCAACGTTAACTAATAGGACCGTATTTTAAAGTGTTACCGAAATCTTCGACACGATACAGAAGATTTTACCCATAAAGCCTAATCTGTTTATTCTGTGTTTCTGAAGCTGTTTGGTTGACGGCACCGATATGTTTCTCATCTCCAGGTCCGGTGTCCCTGCCAAAGGGAAATGCGTTTGGAATTCCCTTTCAGAAAGAGTCTCTGCTGGGAATGGTGTCCAACCCCACCGAGGTCTTCTGCTCCGTACCCGGCCGTCTCTCTCTTCTCAGCTCCACTTCCAAGTACAAAGTAACCGTGGCCGAAGTTCAGAGACGCTTGTCTCCACCGGAGTGTCTGAACGCATCTCTGCTCGGAGGGGTTTTACGCAGGTGAGCAGTTACTGCACATGTTCAGTCGTACTCGAAAACCTATTAATATGACAATATCAATACCAAATTAACTTTAGCTGGAAATAACATTATTCAAGAACCGCTATAAAACCAAAACAATCTCTGTTACCTTAAATTATATGTTTTAACTCTGTAAAGCTGCTTTGAAACAATCCATTGTTAAAAGCGCTATATAAATGAAGATGACTTGAATACTGTTGATATATTCACGTGTAAGACTGGAGCAAATAACAAAAAGATTGCTGGGTGAATATTATGAACTTCATTTAGGTCATATTTCATCCAAAATCCAAAGCGAATGAAGCATATTTTAAATACCACTGTGACTATATTTTCATAACAATTACACACATTTTTACCACAAATGACCATTATCATAATGCAAAATAATGATGATGTGAAATAAAACCATACAACATTTATATATTATGGTAGTATAAGATGTAATTTGCATTTATGCTGATTTCAAAAAGTGTAATGCAGTGAAAAATGGCTACAGTAAAAAATAATCAATTGAAAATATTTGTTATAAACTCAAAAGTATGCTCATCATGAAAATTGTCACGATGCAAAATGGTCTTAAAACAAGCTAAATTTTCTCTCTGAATTTTTTTTTATTTCTTATGTTTTGTCTCTTGATTTTGGGGAGAAATATGACCTTTTTTTGTGATTCATTTGTGAGTGCATATGGAAATTATGGTAAACAAAAAGTTTGATTATATGTGTGTGTGTAGGATCATGTTTCATACTATCTAGCTCCATTTGTGTGCGTATAGATGAGATGTTGCTGATTTTAATTTCATTACAACAGACACAACCTGCTCTGTAAAAAAAAAAATAGTTTGAACTTAAAAAAAGTAATTGTTCGTGCTGCCTTAATTTTAAGTTCAGTCAACTCAAATATCCATATTCACATTTCAAGTTGACTAAAATAAACATTTGAATGCAGCATCAACACTTATTTTTTTCAGTGTCATAGCATCGCTCTTTATTACTGGGAATATTTGTCTGTTCCCATGTGTCTGACGCAAACACACTGATATTGGTTAAGTAGGTCATATAGCACAAGCGTTGGGAGGGGGAGGGGGAGGTGCCGGGCACTTACTCATGCCTTCTGCTAACAATCCCTTACCCCACAAGTGAAGGGTGATGCCAGGCCACAACTCTAGTCATGCATATCACCGAGGCCGAAACAGCAAGAGGGCCTTTTGTCTGCGTTTTCGTTGCACTGCATTTTAAACACTTGAGCTGTGACATCATTTTGTTTCATGAGCCTGTTTATTCATGTGAATCTGGGTCCAAAACCTCTTTCCATATTGGCCTCTAAGTTGTATAACATAAACAAAACAAATAAAATCCATGTGTTTCACCTGTGATAATTGAGCCTTTCGCTCTTGGTTACGGCACTGCTCGCTCAGACAAGCTTTATAGAACACGCCGTTAAAATAAAAAAGTGCATTTTTTTGCTAAATGCTTACATATTTTGGAAAGTGAAAACAAGTTGATAGCGCTTTTCAAATCACATTTTCAGAGCAGCTTTACATAAATTAATGTTTATATTATCTTAAGATCTTCATGCCTTATAGTTGCATTTTGCAGATTACAGCTGGGAGATAATAGAGTTTACAGTATACGCGAGTAATCATGTATGAGGTGAAGTTGGATATACTTTATATAAACAGATGTGCAGTAATATAATAAAAAGCTCGGCAATAATATAACCATGACTATAATAATAATAAATCCATCTGGGTTTCTTAGCAAACATGCACAAAAGCTTGTCTGATAGTGTGACTGCTAACAGGATTGGCAGGTTTAGCAAAAGGTCACTAATGAAATTCACAAATTTCTATGTGCTAATTTTTGTTAATTTTACTACAAAGGGCAAAATCAAAGAACGGCGGCCGATCCCTGAGGGAGAAACTGGATAAAATTGGGTTGAACTTGCCAGCGGGTCGCAGAAAGGCTGCTAACGTCACCTTACTAACCGCCCTGGTGGAAGGTAAGCACTTTACTGTATATCAGTCAATATTTATATTTAGAATGACTCTCTGTGGTCATTAAAAATCCCAGGATGTCTTTCGAAAGAGTAGGGGTGTAACCCCGGCATCCTGGCCAAATCTGCCCATTGGCCTCTGTCCACCATGGCCTCCTAATCATCCCCATATACTGATTGGCTTCTTCACTGTCTCCTCTCCACCAGTAAGCTAGTGTGTGGTGAGCGTTCTGGCGCAATATGGCTGCCGTCGCATCATCCAAGTGGATGCTGCACATTGGTGGTGGTTGAGGAGATCCCCCCCTCTATGTAAAGCGCTTTGAGTGCCTAGAAAAGCGCTATATAAATGTAATGAATTATTATTATTTAGTCGACAAAATCTGTGGAGGATATCATGAAGTTCTAGACAGAAAAGTGAATGTTAAAGGCTGGAATAAGCTACATGATTTTTGCACAGATTTGCAGTCTGGAGGAGTCAGAAAAGTCAGAGATTTTGACAGATTTCACAGAAAACTGTGTGTAATGATGAGCACAGACTACACTATTTGAGCTTCAGACTTTGATTCAATCTAGTTGTAGGATTTTTGATATTTTGAGCCAATTTTAGAACAAATATTGTTTTCATTTGTCATGCGAAAAAATAGTCACACTTGTATTGTTCGCGGTGCCCCGAATTGGAAATTAATGGGAGACGAATTTCATCTAGTCAAAATATTTGGCGCACAAAAAAATTCTTACTGAAAGGTCATTTTTTGAGACATCAACCTCAAATTTGGAACATAGCTCGATTCATGGAAAATGTATATTTCATATAAAAAAAATATTTTTGTGCATTTTTCATAACAATAAATGTAAAATTGTATAACTTTTTTTATTCAAGTTAATAATCTGCCAAGTGTCTTCTTTAAAAAGAGACCAAACTTCAGTCTGTGTTCCAAAACATTCAAGATTTATGACAGTTTAAGTTGGAAATTTAATTTTCCATGCTCAAAAAGTCAATAAATGGATTATAACTACTGCATAAATATAATTTAGTACCATAAGATCCCCTAAAAATACAAAATATGAAATAAAAAATATTATCAAACTAAAATATATAGTTCAATCATTTTGTGAAATATTTTTTTTTCTGGTCATTTTCGACCGACACGTGAACAGTAACAGAAGGCTAGAAACAAGCCGCATATTTCTGAGTGAGTCTGTTGTGTTGAACACAACGTGAAAGTCTGACGATCATCAGTCATTTACTGCATGATGCCCAGTTGTTCTCTGTAACTACAGTATTTACAAAGTTGGCAAATGTATGATGTCTAGTGTTAGATTCTTAAAGTTGTGTCGTTTATTTCAGCCTAAGTCTAAATTGGTTTAAATGACCCGCGACAAAACGGAAGGGTTAATCAATCGTCCCTGTGCTAAATGCTTAAACAAATGCTCTGGATTGATGTGTTGAAGTTCGATTGTAACTAACCTGTTACCAATTGAAACTTCCATAGAGCTAGTAATAATTCAAAACATAGATTGCATGCAAAGGTCATATATGTTACTTGGCACTACTCATGTATTGGCAGCAGAGTCTCAAGTGTGCATGTAAGCGATCTTTAATTTCTTGACATTTCTTCTCCACTTTTACCTTTTGCATGAGTATAGCGAACCGATGAGTCACAGAGACATTAGCGTAAAGATCACGAGTTAACTAGCACCAGGAGCGATGCAGAATACTTTTAGCTCTCTCGTGTAATGTCACCATTCTCACCACTAATGGGAGCATGGGTCTGAAGCAGGAACATGACTAGAAGGCGTAGTTATTTACAGACCTTCAAAGCTGAATTAGGGCTTGTTATCACATGTTCGCTAGCCAAGAGGAGAGACTGACCTTAAAGACAACGACTGTGAATAATGTGCTAGTCTGTCAATAAGAGCCTGTTGGGTCTAGGGGACCGTTAGACGCCTTCAGCTATGAAGCCTCATTAGAGACATACAGTGTGACCACCACTATCCACAAGAGAGAGTCTATTCATCTGAATTCATCTTAGTTTGGAGAGCAAACGAGTCTTTCTGTGACGCCGTTTTGAGTCAGATCCAAACCGATGGATCCGACGGTGACTCATCGCTGTGGTTCAGTCACACGCTATACGTGAGTCACCCGATTCACATCTGATCTTGTCTACAGGTGAGGCCGTACACCTGGCGAGAGATTTTGGGTATGTCTGTGAGACAGAGTTTCCCGCGAAGGCCATCGCGGAATACCTTGGCCGACCGCACGTGGAACGCAATGAGATCAACTCTCGCAAAACCATGCTCTTGGCAGCCAAGTGAGTAACCATCCGTTTGTTCCTCCTATTTCTCATGAATCCCAACTCGTGAAGCATTAAGGTTAGGGTGTGCCAAGCCCATTTTGATGGAGCCATTAAGAATGAGTCCCTTGCTTAATCAACCGCCTGTGAGAAAGCTTCTGAAATGCCTGCTTTATGGTTTAATACTTTAACTGGTCATCTAATCTTTCAGGCAAATCTGTAAGGAGTTCACCGACCTGCTGACTCAGGACCGATCTCCTCTGGGAAACTCTAGGCCAGCTCCCATTCTGGAGCCAGGGATTCAAAGCTGCCTGACTCACTTCAGCCTCATCACCCACGGCTTCGGCTCTCCGGCCATCTGTGCGGCCATGACCTCGCTGCAAAACTACCTCAACGAGGCGCTCAAACAGGTGGACAAAATGTACATGGGTTCGAGCGGGGACTCCTCGCAGGCCTCGTCCGATGGCACCAACAAAGTAGATAAGATGGACAAGCACAGAAAGTGAGACTTGTTGAGTCGAGGTTGAACTGGATTGGACCATTTGAACGCAATAACCGTTTTTGTAGCGGAATTACCAGTTTTTACCAGATCTGACTTGTCGTCGTCGTCGTCGTTGTTGTAGTTGTCGACTCTGTTTCCGTTCTGCTTTGTTTTCCCGACATCAAATTCAAAGCCCTCTTGGTCCACGTCTTGGCCTTCCAGCACTTTCTCCTCCACAAAGACACAAAACACATTTCAATGCTTAGCCTTAGTCGAGAGAGTTGCGTATCGTCATCGGGAAGTTGTCTCTCAGAGGGGAACTGCAAAGAGGAAGTTGTTGAGACACCATTTCAAGAGTTATTGTGGATTTTAACGATGTTTTCTTTCGCTATCGATCTGGGAGGAGGAATTTTTGTTTCTCTGTGTCCTCCTCCTTGGTGCTGACCTCCTTATGGACTTACCAATGATGTGATTATGTTTGAGACATTATAACTTGTTCTACGCTTGACTTCATTGGACGCAGTGTTATTGTTCTTCTGTTTGTGGGAGTGTTGTTAGCATGAGTGACAGTTTTGTGTGCATGGATATATATGATTACTAAACAACCGATCAATGGATTTTTATTACACAAGAAATTTGGCTTACATTTCCACTTTTTGAACAACTGAGAACAATTGAAAAGTCCTTGTTGCAGTTTTAAATAAGTTAAAATGATCAAATATCATACGGTTGTGTGTGTGTGTGTGTGTGTGTGTGTGTGTGTGTGTGCATGTTCAGTTTTGCATCTTTTTGATGCCTTTACGTCAGACTAGAAGTTACATTTTCCATTTGTCTTTCCCTAAATGTAAATATTTTCTAATTTATGTTGTAATTTAATGGGATTTGTAAATATTGGTACAATTATGGTGTTTGGTTCCACTTTTTAAAAAGATGTGTTAAGCTTTTATAAAGGGGTTTGTTTTTTTATCATATAGTGGTTAGGCTCTGGGATCGATATTCTTTATAAATATGTGTAATATTGGTTTGAAGCTGTAGGAATAAAAACTCAACACTCTTGAATTGCATTGACCGAGACTCCCCGTTTATGACGCCGAGTTGCACACTTCACTACACGCGTGCTAGTGAGGCATGCTGAACATAGACTATTCATGTGTGTAAAGATTCCTTTTTGAAATAAATGCCCACAGACTCATTAAATATCAGTCGGTGTAAAAAAAAAAAAAAGCAGGTCATCCGAAAGCTTTCCTCTGAGAAGACTGGACCTTCATGCTATTTAAAACACCTCTCTTACCTGGATTACTCTTCGAGTGTTTGCTCGAAACAGACAGTTCCCTTCTTTTCATAACCACGCTTATCTCGTAAATTGGCGTGAGAGGACAACAGTAATGTGTGTGAAGTTTCCGCAGTGCTCTTTTCATATTTAAATCCTCTGCTATGAAAGTCTCAATGCGGTTTCATGAAGTGACGGGACTGTTGACAAGAGATAACAAAGCCATAAGATAATATTGACCCTAACGCTTTTCTTTTTTTTTACAATCATACTACTTTATTATTAATGCACCATGTGGTCGGTTGCGAAATCAATCGACGTTTTATTCATATCTTTATCCTTTTGTTTGTAAAGATAGCATGTGTATCTCACTTTGTTTAGATTCAGATGGTTGATATCGCATCTCCTGATCAAAACCATCCCCTATCTAACTCGTTCTCACAGCAAGTCAGTTTCTTGTATGCGGTGTGATCGCAGGTGTGTGTGTTCGTCTCCGTTGAGTGACTGACTCATGCAACTGAACTGACAGAAGAGCAAGTGTGAGCTTCTCCCCTCAGAACCTGTTGGACCGGACGTGTGGCTTTGCCACGCACCAACAGTTGACTGTAACCGCCTGCACTTACTCGGATTCTTTTCCTGCACAAGGCTGTAAGTTGAGACACACCAGCTTTGATGGTCGGCTGTAGTGTTTGTGGCAGAACTTCCTCCTTGTACCCGAAAGGTGTTGATCGGTGTGAAACGTGGACACAGACAGACACGCACCCACATCGACACTGACTTCGAACGGTCCCGTGATGATGACGACAAGTGTACGCGGAAGTTTTACAAAAAGTTTGCGACATGACTTGATCTCTATAAGAAGCTACATCCCGAGGATACGTTGTGCTTGTTTATATTGGTTGCAACCCAACTCTGAAAATGGCCGCTGATATAATTGAAAACGTATGGAGACAAACAAGACGGTTGAAAAAAAGATTAAATCTTAAAAGCTGAGTGCTGTTGTCCTTGTACAATGCCACAATGTTGCGAAGGGTTTCAGAGTGAGTTTAGGGTGTTGCTGAATTCGGTGTGCTTACTGGGCCAGTTTAAACGTCTCTATCATATTATGGTCATTACTTGAGGTTGGGCGTTTAAATCACTTACCCAAAAATGAACATTTTGTTATCGTTGACTCAACCTCATATTGGTATGCAGTTTTGTTTTCTGTGGAAAACTAAATATGAAATTTCAAAAATGTGTTTATTTTTTTGGCCATACCATGAAAGTCAATGGGGTCCAATGTTGTTTTCACTTTAAGTGCATGAGCAAAAAGTTGAAATATTCTTCAGAATATCATTTGCAAAGTCTGTTTCCATATTAAATTTAAATGTACATTTTTAAATCAGTCCTTACTCTCGACTAGATTTATTTAATATGTCTCTTAAAGGGATAGTTAACCCAAAAATGAAAATTCTGTCATCATTTACTCACCATTTACTTTTGGTTACCCACATCTTTAAAATATCTTCTTTTGTGTTCAGTAGAAGAAAGAAATGTATACAGGTTTTGAACAACTTGAGGGCGTGTAAATGATGATAGAATTTACATGTTTGGTTGAACTATCCCTTTAACCTTTTTTATTTATTTATCATAATTTATATTTATTTATTAAACCAATACCTGAATATGCATGGAATTTAATTAGTCAAAATAGCCACAGGCATTAGGCCTTTCTCAGAAGCTGTGTTGCTATGCTCAGCTAACATTAACGCCATCTCTTGTGTTCTGGTTTTGCATAAATTACTGTTAATATATGCAAATATCCTTAATAAGATGTGCAAAGCTTATTTGTTTAGGGCCATATCTAGGTTTCTTGCGACCCATGATTGGATGACCTATGCTAACGCAGGTCAAAGGCAATAGCGGAAAATGCTACGCTTCCGGATGACTGTGTCAGCTGCAGCATTTTACAGTATATGCGCATTAAGAAAACAAATCTATTCTCAGACTAAATCTCCAGCACATGAATAATGGCACTGCTGTTTGCCGTCATACTTTTATTTCTGGCTCTCAGAGAATCTCTTCTAGATGAAACCACTATATAACCTGTAGTAACACATTTCCTTGCATTTCTCAACTGTCTGTCACAGTCTGGTTTGTGTTAGGAGTCATTAGCAGTGACACTGATGGAAATACTGACTAAACCGCTCTTTGAATGGTGTTTGTAAAGTCCCTCAACTGTTTTTGCATACTCCTTCAGAAAGATGTTTAAGAATAATATAATATTTAGGTGGAAATGTCGGATGTTGTCGTACACATGGAAGAGGGGGATGTTTCTGAGTGGTTGCTTGCTGGTATGAGGAAGCCAAATAATGGGAACATAAAAGTTGGCGGAGGGACGGATGTGTGTGCGTTTAACGGGGGGCAGGAACAACAAAGAATTCCTGCGGAAAATGCCGGGAATGAATTTAAATTACAGGCGATGAGGAATTCTTCCTGCATGTTCGGCGGTGGATACAGGCACCTGGTGTGTGTGTGTGTGTGTGATTGGGTCGGGGGTCATCCTTAAGGAACAGTCCCCAGATATTTTTATTTTTATTTTAAGCTTTTGCATTTGTGTTTGGATGGGACTCTCTGTTTGGGGACCAATGGAAGACTAATGGGAATTAAGGACAGCCTTGCAAAGTACTAATAACTATATAGGCCGAACCCTAAAGCGATACATTTTTTTCACCTTTATCACAATAATTTAGAATTAATATTTATGAACAGATCAGTAAATTCTTTCTGGTAGTGTCACTGTTTTTATCTAACAGAAAATGTTCTGAAAAAAAACAAAACATAAAATACATACATAAAACAAATATTTAGTCGTTTATTAATTATTATTTTTTACATTAATGTGTTTAAAATACAAACACACTGTGGGCATACAAATTGGCTGATAATCCATAAAAAAAAAATACTCCTGTTAATTAAAACAATTTTAGTGTGTTTTTAATCAGAAAGCGAGAACCCCCCCCCCCAATCATATACTTATTTATTATTTATTTTTTAATACTTAATTACTTATTCTTAAAGTCATTTTTAATACACAATAGCACTGTTTCCTGAAACCGCCCCAGAACAGTGCAGGGTGGGACAGATTTATACGCTATCCTGAACGGACTCTCCTCTTCGTCCTTTCTTGGACCCGTCCTGTGGGAATGTGATGGTCTGCCTGCGTCTCCAGTGTCAGCCACCCAAACACCCCCTCCCTCGTCACAACACGTACCGCCAATTAGCCTGCGCTATCGCTAGCGAAGCCGCGGCCTCCTCACCCCTCCACGGCAGACAACAGATGTCCGTCTTTCTGCGGGAACGCTCCAAAACAGCAAGATGGTTCTTGCTTTCTCAGAAACAACCATTACCTACTTTCCTGCGCAAGAAATGACTCCACGGCTCACAAGACATATCCAGCTTAATTAAAAGCATCTGTCCCGCCTAACGAAACGCAGCGAGTCCTGTTTATTCTCTTATAATGCACTAAACAGCGCTAATCAAAACAGCCTGGCTGAATTCCCTGTCCAACACTGAAGCCATTATCAGATGCAAGGGCTCTGGGTTTTCTGAAAGTGCTTTGTTCGATCGTTTCTAGCAAAAAACGAAACAAAAACCTGAGTCTGTCTTGTTGGTAGGAATTGTCTCTAATTGTCTTCCATTTGATGCATAAAAAACAAGGCCATAAGGGCACATGGACAATGAGTCTGTTATTCAGCACGCTTCATGTCCAGTGCAAATCTTTGGATGTTCCATGTTTTGTCCATTGAACTGTTGACGTCCAGATCGGCTCTTCTATTGATTGGGCTGTTGATGTTAATCCTGCATGTTCATATCCACCATATGGCTGATTCTCATGGTCCTGGGACGCTTCTCTAAGCTGGGATGCCAACCGCACGATGTGAACGACTGTTAGTAAACCACCTGTCATTGATGCTGCATGTTGATCCTTTATTTTGATCATCACTTTGACTCCCACTTGTAAAATGTAAGCGTCATCATGATCCAGTGACATTTTATACACTTTTTGTTGTTGTTTAGGACACATTAAATTGGTCAAAAGTGACCGTAAAGACATAACATTAGAAAATATTTCTATTTCAAATAAACACTGTTATTTTAAAAGTTCTATTCATCAAAAAATCCTAGAAAAAAAAATTGAAGAAAAGCTTTTCATCAGCATCAAATCATCATATTAGAGTGATTTCTGAAGGATCATGTGACACTGAAGACTGGAGTAATGATGCTGAGAATTCAGCTTTGATCACAGGAATAAATTACATCTTACACTCGCATAAGTTATTTTAAATTGT